TAATGTTGAAGCTGAGATCTTGCGAGATGCTGCTCAATTTTGCCAGTTTCTTGATTTGGGCTTTATTGGCCATGATTACACATGGACCAACAACAGAGGGGGTGTCAAAAATGTCCAGGAGCGTCTTAACCGTTATTTTGTCAATCAAGCCTGGAAGGAATGCTTTCCCGGGTCTTTTGTCACACACCTTTCCAATCGCCGCTCTGACCATCTCCCCATATTACTTTGCATTAAAGATACTGTTCATGCTCCAAAGAAGAAAAAAAAGAAAGTTAAACTCTATCGTTTCGAAGAGATGTGGCTAAGGGACGAGAATTGTGCTGAAATTGTGAATAATGCGTGGGATAGGGGAGGAGATATATGCTCAAAAATTGCTTTCACTTCGGTGAATTTGAGTGCTTGGAGTAGGAAAAAATTCGGAGATTTTATTACGGAGTTGAAGGATTGTAGAGCAAAAATGGAGAGCCTAATGATGGAAACCCAGTCGGATGAGGTGATAGCCCAAATGCGGGCTCTTGATGATCGTATGGACGAACTTGAAAGGAGGGAAGAGCTCTATTGGAAGCAAAGGAGCCGCCAAGATTGGCTAAAAAACGGTGACCAAAATACCACTTTCTTCCACACAAAAGCTAAACAAAGGGCAGAACGAAATCATATCAAGAAAGTACATGATGCGGCTGGGAACTGCTTTACTGATGAAGAGCAAATTACTGATGTTTTTGTGGAAAACATTAAGGACCTTTTTGCCTCCAATAGTCATGTAGAGATGGAGCCCGTTATCGACAAAGTGGAGAAAAAGGTTTCAAATAGACAACATGCTACACTATCCTTTCCTTATAGTGTCGACGAAGTGAGAGTATCCCTCTTTCAAATGCATCCAACCAAAGCTCCAGGGCCCGGTGGTATGTCCGCAATATTTTTTCAGAAATTTTGGGACATAGTTGGTAATGACGTGGTGGGGAAAGTGCTTGACATTTTAAATAATAATGGGGATATAGGTACTATTAATCAGACTCACATTGTGCTTATTCTGAAAAAAAAAAATTACGTGAGTCTCCTGTTGATTATAGACCTATTAGCTTGTGTAATGTGTTGTATAAAATTGTCACTAAGGTCCTTGATAATCGTTTAAAATTAGTCTTGCCTTCGGTCATTCATGAATCCCAGAGTGGTTTTGTTCCGGGGAGATTAATTACTGATAATGTGTTAGTTGCTTATGAGTGCGTCCATTACCTTAGAAAGAAGAAAAAAGGGAAGAAAGGCTATCTGGGTTTAAATTTAGATATGAGTAAAGCCTATGACCGTGTGGAGTGGTCTTTTCTGGAAAGAATGATGTTGAAGTTGGGATTGCCGGAGAATTTTGTGGGCATTGTTATGAAATGTGTCAGTACGGCTTCTTTTGATGTCCTAGTGAATGGACAACCTTCGAGATCTTTTATGCCTAGTTGGGGGCTAAGGCAAGGTGATCCTCTTTCGCCTTCCTATTTATTATGTGTGCGGAAGGTTTATCTGCTTTAATTAGAGATGCTGAACAAAGGCAACTCATCCATGGGGTTAAAATTGGTAGACATGTGAATCCAATTTCACATCTATTTTTTTCCGATGATAGTCTGTTGTTTGTTAGAGCTAATGAAGATGAAGTTGAGAATGTGCTTGAGATCCTTTCTACCTATGAGGTCGCTTTAGGGCAGAAACTGAATATGGACAAGTCAGAGGTATCCTTTAGCCGAAACATTGAACAAGAACGGAAAAATACTCTTAAGATGAAGTTATCTTTTAATGCTGTCAAGGGTCATGACAAGTATTTGGGGCTTCCAACCTATATTGGTAGCTCTAAAAAACAAGTGTTCCAAAATATTTAGGATCGTATCTGGAAAAAATTAAAGGGGTGGAAAGAAAAGTACTTATCTCAAGCGGGCCGTGAAGTTTTGATCAAGTCAATGGCACAAGCTATCCCCACCTACACGATGCAATGCTTCTCTATTCCGATGAGTATCCTTGGTGAAGTTGAAAGATTGTGTCGCAATTTTTTTTGGGGTCAGAAAAAAGAAGAGAGAAAGATGAATTGGGTGGCATGGGATAAGTTGTATATCCCTAAGAATCAAGGGGGGCTTGGCTTTCGGAATATGAGAAATTTTAACCGTGCCCTCCTTGCGAAACAAGCTTGGCGTATACTTACCAATGAGGGATCCTTAATGGCAAGAGTTCTCAAAGGTAAGTATTTTCACAATTCTTCATTTATGACTGCCAAAGTCTCCTCTAATTCGAGCTATACTTGGAGATCGATTCTTGGGGCGCGTGATGTTCTCTCAAAGGGTGCTAGAATGGTTGTGGGTGATGGCCTTTCTGTCGATATTTGGCGGGACCCATGGGTGCCTGGCCTTCCTGATTTTCGTGTTCTATTTGAACGGGGCTCTGATGAAGACTGTCCTGCTCGTGTGCGTGATCTGTGGGGTGATAGACAGTGGAATGTGCAAACTCTTAATTTCTTTTTTGAACCGCTGGAAGTGCAGGAAATATGCAATATCCCTATTTCCCTCTTCGACAGACCTGATACTTGGTCTTGGAGTTGGTCAAAAGACGGAAATTTCTCTGTCAAAAGTGCCTATAATATGTTGAGTATGGAGAATGCTCGTAATTCTGCTACTACATCTACCTCAATTATTGGGTTTGATTGGAATAACATCTGGAATGCTAATATTCCCCCAAAAATTAAATTTTTTTGTTGGCGTGCTGTGAGAGGGGCAATTGCTGCTCGTGCTACATTGGCTGGTAGGGGAATGATTGTGAATCCAATGTGCCCAATGTGTGGTGAAACGCAAGAATCTGTTCTGCATTTGCTCGTGTTCTGTAGAGAGGCAAAATTGTTTTGGCTTTACTCCCCTTTGAGGTTGGATGTGGAGAAATTTTCTGGTGAAAACTTTGCAGCGTGGTGTGGTGAGGTGCGAGCTACTATTAAAGTTTCTTCTTGGTGGAATATATTCTGGTGTTTGGCTTGGGAATCTGGCTTCGAAGAAATGCTTGGGCTTTTGAGGGTAAGAAGAAGAAGATGTTGGACGTCATACACAGGGTCCTGAGTCTGGTGGGTGAGTTTGAGGATGCTAATGCTGAAGAACAAAGTCGATCTATCCCTCCTGAAGTCTTGGAGTGCTGCTGGAAAAACTCCCTTGTTTGGCATAATCAAATTAAACTCAGATGCTGCTATTTTTAACACAAATATGGTTGGGTTGGGAGGAGTGATGAGGGATGCGAATGGAGATGTGGTGGTGGCTACGTGTGTTCACCTTGCCGGCAGATTCGATGTGGAGATTGCCGAGGCTATGGCAATGAGACATGCCATGAAAATTGCCATTGAATCTGGCTTTTTGTCATTGTGTTTAGAGACTGATAACCTCAAACTCCACCACTGTCTTAAGAAAGGCAGAGCTGATCCGAATGCATTTGGTTCCATCATTAGAGACATTCTACTGCTTGCTAGTTCCTGCCATAGTGTTTCCTTTGCTTTTGTGAAAAGAAGTGGTAATCGTGTAGCACATAGCCTAGCTAAACTTAGTTGCAACTATGAAGGCTTTAGGGTATGGATGGAAGAGTATCCAAGTGAGTTACATGAGTTTGTAATGGCTGATTTAAGCCCTTCTTCTGCTTAATAAATTTTGCTCGTGTTCCGTCAAAAAAAAAAGGAAGGATATATACATCATTTGTCATATATTCATACATATCATTATATAATTTTGCTTTATTTATATAGCTTTACATTTCATATTGCATTAACACATTATTTATTATTGTTTTCTAATTATGAATTTTGATATAAATGAATATACACGCCAGTTATAGTATGAATAATTTGTAAGCTTTATAAAAGTTTATAAAAAGAAGATTCAAAATCCATTGGGATAATGATGTTCTTATAGCATGTTATGAACCATGCATATGCTATTAAGAAGAGTTCTTGAAGAAATTATACATATATTTATCTTTCAAATTTTACTTTGGAATATTGATGAGATTTTGTAAAGAATAAAACTCTTAAAGATTATTTTTGACTAAGTAGATAACATCTCAGCCTGAAGTTTGAGCATAGCTAAGTTGGCGTGAAAAGTCTTATTATTTCTGAATTTGCAAGACCAATTTAATATTCAATATAAAATGTGTACAATTGTACATAAGTGCAATGACATACTTATTTGTATAAATACATATTGGTCTCGAAGAACCAACGACGATGCAACGAGATCGATGCTTTACATTATCGATTCCAATTTGACGATGATATGAATGATATAGATATGATTTAAGAGGATAGCGTATCATCAAACATTAATAAATATAAAATATTGATGAGCTTTTAACTACTAATGACCTCCAGAAGAAGGTACAAATCAAACACACACACACACACATATATATATATATATAAGATAAGAACCGTAACCTATGTTTATATGAGAAAATGTGTTTTATCTAAAATGAAGTTATTATCAAGATATATGTATTCGACATTTCAAGAAAAACATTAGCTCTTACATCATTACATTATTCTAAGTGTATTATTCTCATAAGTTAGATGCAATGAAGACAATTGAACAATTCAAGTGAAGATTTGAAATTCAAGTTAAATTTTGGAATATCAACTGTCCGTGAAGATTTTGCTGCTACACAGAAGAAGTTGTGTCGATATTTGACTTATTGCATTGAAGATATGAAGTGATGTAAAATCCAGGGGGAAAAAAAGGGGAGAAAATACGCGCTACACTCTTTTTCCCTTAACTATGGTTTTGTCCCACTGGGTTTTCCTAGTAAGGTTTTTAACGAGATAGCATCTCAAGCGTATTATGAAGAATGATGTACTCTTTTTCCTTCACTAGGTTTTTATCCCACAGGGTTTTTCCTAGTAAGGTTTTAACGAGGCACAATCTTCAATAATGGACATCCAAGGGGGAGTGTTTTGAAATATAATAATGTATGTCCATTATGTAAACCATTGTAACCTCCTAGGCATTATTACTTTCCTAAGTAACCTCTTGTAACTCCTTTTAGCTTTATTGTTTCCACTTTGTAACTCTTCATTATTATGACTCTTCAGTGCTTTTGGAGAGTTACTATTTTCTCAAGTGTATATATATATAGGCATTGCCTAATGAAAAAATGAACTAAGATTAACATCTACATCTTCCACTTGTATTCTACTATTCTTTCTTTCTCGCTATTTTATAACATTGCCCTCTATAATTGTCAAAAATTTACTTCAAGTTACAATTGACTTCATTCTAAAAAAAAACCCTCTTACCTCCCCTGTATACTCCAACAGTCCAATCCTTCCAAATTGTTGCATATTTTCACGTACAATGCATAATGTTTCGTATATTTTATGCGTAATTTTGTCTAAACATTCAAGTTCCATACTTGAAACTTTAATGGAAAAACACTAGAATTAGAATTGCAAATCATGGGTAAATTATATGAAGCTCTCAGACCCATCTTCAGGAAGAACCCAGCTCCTTCAGAACCTTCATTTTACTTGAATTTGCTTCAACTGTGTATTGATGCAAAAGCAGGAATAGAAGGCCGTTTGATACATAAGTATCTTTTCCTTAATGGGATTGACTCAAATGTGGCTTTGAATAACAAAATGATCATATTCTATGCCAAAATTGGTGACATGAGGGATGCACGTAAGGTGTTTGATAAAATGCCTGAAAGAAATATTGTATCTTGGACTGCTTTGGTATCTGGGTACTCCCAAAATGGGTTCTTTAAGGATGCCCTTATGGTTTTTGAGAGTATGCATTATTCAGGTGTGAAAGGCAATCAGTTTACGTTTGGTAGTGCATTGAGGGCATGTACCAAGTTGATGTGTTTGAGAAGTGGGAAGCAAATTCAAGGGTGTTTGAAGAAGAGTAGGTTTGCTGGGAATTTGTTTGTACAGAGTGCATTGGTTGACCTGCATTCGAAGTGTGGGCGAATTGAGGATGCGAGTATTGTCTTTCAGATGATGTCTGAGAGGGATTTGGTCTGTTGGAATGCAATGATTGGTGGATTTGCAGTTCAAGGCTATGTAAATGATGCATTTCGAATGTTCTGGTCTATGATGAAAGAAGGTGAGGTGTTTAATCTTGTTTAGAGTATCAATTAGTTTTTGATTAGCAACTATTAAATCTGATATGTTTGCTGCCCTTGAAATTACTAGGTAAAATACCTGATTGCTTTACTTTTGGGAGCTTATTGAATGCATGTGCTCAAGGTAATAATCTTTCCAGAGTTTTCCAAATACATGGGCTTATTGTACAACATGGCTTCGGATTACATGAACTGCTGAGTAGACTGCTAATAGAGGCGTATGCAAATTGTGGAAGCACAAAGTATGCCTACTCTGTATTTAGGAGTATGATGGTAAAGGATCTAGTGTCTTACACTGCTATGATTGCTGGCTTTGCACATGACAGTGATCATCATATTGATGCTTTGAATCTCTTCGGTGAAGTATACCACAGTGGCATGATGCTAGATGGTTTTCTCCTCTGTACCATGTTTAGTGTGTGTTCTAATTCTTCTTTGTTGAACTTTGGTAGACAAATTCATGCTCTTGCACTTAAATATGTTCCTACTCAAGACGTGGTTATGGGCAATGCCCTTATCGATATGTATGCCAAATGTGGTGAGCTTAAGGAAGCCATTCGTGCTTTTGATCAAATGGAAGAAAAGAATGTCATTTCATGGTCATCTTTGATTGACGGATATGCCAAGCATGGCTATGGACACGAGGCAATGTCATTGTATAGGAAGATGGAATATGAGGGTCTCAAGCCGAATGATGTTACATTCTTGTCTCTTCTAGTTGCTTGTAGTCATGCAGGGTTAATTAGGGAAGGTTGGGAATGCTTTAATAATATGGTCGTCAATCATAACATTGCTCCAACTGAAAAACACTGTTCATGCATGATAGATGTGCTTGCACGAGGTGGTCAATTAGAGGAAGCTTTTTTTATAATGCAAAAGATGAATATTCAGCCAAATGAATTGCATTGGGGAGCTATACTTGGTGCTTCTAATGTCCATGGAGATATTTCTTTTGGCAAGTTAGCTGCAAAACACCTTTCCAATTTGGATACCAAAAATTCTTCTACTTATGTTGCTTTGGCTAATATATATGCTGCATCCGGGTTGTGGAATGATTCTTGGGGTACACATAAATTAATGGAGGAAAATAAACTGAAGAAGAATCCTGGTTACAGCCTTGACTTTTCCCAAAAGAAGGATCTGTAGTGGTTAACTGGTGAAAACAAACAGAACTTGCATATGTCAACGATGAGTTATGATCAAGAACCGGGCAACACTTATATGAATCTTTGGTTCAAATGTAAGATCATGCTTTTGCACAGATAGCATTTGCATTTGCCAGATCGAGGTGCTTGCTCTATCTTCTCAATATTGTTTTCCCATTGCATTACCCTTCCTTTGAGCCCTGTCTCAGAGTGTTATGTTTTTATTTTAAATTTAAGGCATTTGAATCTATTTATCATTCTTGGAAAATGGAAATTATGAAATCCATTTTTTTTTTAACTCAGGACATCATACGAGGAGTGATGAATTGAGGAGCTAAATATGGCTGACGTGGGAGGACAATATTAATCTCACCTTCGATATATACCAAAGGTAATATCCAGCCTTGTTTTTTCTGAATGAGTAAAAGCTCATATATGCATGACAAAAAAAACATAGTGGACATTTTTATTGTTGCAAATTTTGACATCAAACAGCATATTTTTATTGTCTGGAGCTGGACGAAACTTGACATCAAACAGCATATTTAGGTCTATAAGAGAAAACTGTGGCCGAAAGGTTCCTTTGTTGCCTCTGCATCCAATCCAATTCCCTCCCTTTGAATAAAAGCAGAAGAGTTCTGGCAGTTCCATTATGTTAGTAAGGGAAAATCAAGAGATTGTGTCCCATATTCCTCCCAAAAACTATTTTTTTTTTCCTTAATCATACCCTATGATGGCTGCTCTTTGTCTTTTGGGTCATAGGAAGGCCAACCCAAGCAAAAGTTATTCCACTACAGTAAGGCATGACTTTTAATACCTTAATATCAACTACATAACTCTCTGGATAGACAAATACCCTTAATGGCCTTAGGTAAGTAAGCTTGCAAAATTAAATTTTCAGACAAGGATCAGCTAGCTGCAAGCCAACATGGCAACAAGCAGTTTTGTTGGCCTCACAGCATAGGCATTTTTGGACCTTTCCCTAGTGATCAGCTCCTGGCATCGAACTGCATAATAGTTGTGGGCTGAAATCATCTGTCCTTTGAAAGCATCAATATGACAATTTTAGAGTCTCTCTAAAGGAAATTTGGCTTAATTCCTGGGTTCCAACTTCCAACATCCTACAGGTTCATACTGTACCTTGGATGGCAGTCAAGAGTCTGCCTTTAACAAAGAAGCCTACCCACACTGAGTGACAAAGCTTGAAAAAGGCTCCTATCGTTGACAGAACCATCCAGGTTAAGCTTCCTACAACCAGGGCTTGGAGGTTGAGTTGTGTAGCTGATAATATGAAGAGTCTGTGCCATGTGTGTTCATCTTTGTCATATGCTAAGTGGAAGCTGCTGTGCATGCTTTGGACTTTGGCTGGCTGTATGGTGCTTGTTGATCAACACCGCTGGAATTAATAGCAGATCAGTGGCATAATTGCTCAGTCAATTCAATTACATTGTTACTATTTATTCCGCTGTTGCTTTGTCAGACACGAAGGTTATATGATACGAAGTATAATTCTAGCTATTATGTTTCTGGAGCCCTATGTAATATTTATGTTTCATTTTTATGGATCAATTCAAGAATGTTGCAGTGCTTGAGGATTAAGCCATGTTAAGATGTAAATGTTATGGTAAGTGATTTGGAGTATGGATGGGTAAATAATATGCTCTAATTCTTTTGTATGATTCTTGTAGAACATTTATTCTTTATAAATGTGGTATAGTTAATCTACGTTAAAAGTGAAGTTATAGATGCTAATTTGGACAAAAGTGAATTTAGGGCTCTCTACTTCTTATGTACAAACAATAATCACTTTTTATTGTCATTTTATCTTGTTAAGCTATTAGTCTATTATTGTAAATAGAAAGAAAGAATTGATCAAATTACATTTTGAAAATATCCCCTAAATCTAAGAATGTCATACAACTAGTTTTGATTAATTTGAGGTTTTTTTATTTTTTTTAATTATATTTAAATTATGTAAGTTCATATATTTTTTTTTTGACACACATGTAATTTCATTAAATTATTGTTAACTTGTATTGAATTAAAATCTCATTCCCTATTTTCATTTGTATCTATGACCCTATGATTTTTTTGTTTTGGTGTTCTACACCGTTTCACCCTTTTGGCTAATCCGAATTCGGGGATCAGTTCTGGATGGTTAGGTGGTCGGGTCTAAATCTACCGCAAGTGTACGGGTCAATTACAGTAAATATAGGGTGAGCAAGGTATCGTATCCACAAGGAGGTCTACTCAAGTACCAAATTAAGAAACTAGAATATTATTTAGACGACGAAAATATGAGAAAAGTAGTACTAAACTATAAACGATTAAGGCTTGCAAACTAATAAAACGATAGACAATAATAAGAAGTAGTTCTAGGTTTCAGGTTTCGCCAATTACTCTCTATAATGAAATTAAACTAACGGCAAGGTTGAACATATATAATATAACAATGATCGAATTACCAATAGTATGTAATCTCCTCTTCCAAGGTAGAAAACACATATTTAAATCATGTCTACTTTCGTAATAACAACAATTGAAATAAACTCATTAAGAATAGGAATTCAAAAAGACCACCCCAAGTGTATAACTATTCCTAAAATTATACACTTGACGTTTGATAATCTCACGAACTAGTATTGAAATTTCACTTCCGCCAATAATCCAATACCTTAAACATACAATCAATTGGCCAGATTAAGAGTACGAATTAAAACAAGATTATCAAATTGCAATTATATAAATCAAACCCAAACAAAGTAATTCAATTCATTGATAGATAATAAAGGACTACATCCCTAACCTAGAACAAACGAAATTAGCTAGACATGGAAATCAAGAGAACACAACTAATTAATGAAGAGTCAATACTAAACATATAAAATCAAGCAAAAACCAGTCAATTGCATAAAATTCAGTCACGGCTCTCGCGAGGTGCTGCTGCTCCGTCCTTAATCTCCGGCTGCTCTTCGTCTCTTCGTGTGTGAGTGATACCCCCTTCTGCTTCGTGGCTGCTCTTCTATATCAGTGAGTTTTTTGAGGGTTTTTCGTGGGTTTGCCTCTTGCTGCCGCCGCTACTTTCTTTTGGAAGTTTGAGGTAATGGGTTTTCAACCCACTTTCATTCTTTCTTTGGTGAAGTGTATCACGTTAGGAAGTCAAGTGGGCTTTCTTTGTTTAATTATTTTATTTTGCTCCATTTCACTTAACTAATGAACATTGACTTGAGCTCCTTTCCCTAAAATAATAAAAATAGATTATGCTCATTATAATTATCAATTGGAAAACATATTAAAATACAAGGGAATCAAATTCATTGATTAATTCTTAAAACGAGCTTATTATGAGTATAATTCACTAAATCGAGTATTACAATTTAAAATCTCATAATAAGACAACAAAGCATTATAATTTTATAAATTATACTCTAAAATAGCATTAAAATGATACAATAAAGTATATAAAATATTGACTTATCATTAGGTTCTAGTCCCCTCCCAATTGTTGTTGCGGGGGATCGAACACGGGTCCTCCTTACCAAGTGTAGTCCCAATCACCACTACACCAACAATCAATTGGTACTCAAATCCTATGAATAATTTATGCTAAAATAATATCCACTTGGGTCAACTTCAGATGATGCGTTCGAATAGAGCTTGAATTTGATATTTCAAAATATACATCAATTCGATCTCCAAAAGTGATTTAAGAAAATCTTGTTCAACTCTTGTTGTTGGCCAACCTCTTGCATCATTTGTAAATCTCACCTAAGAACTCTTTGTTTAATCCAATTCCAAATCAAAAATTACCTAAATTTCTACACCTTTGTGGGCCAATGGCGGGAGTTTATTTTCCTAAACCAATACCAAAAAAAAAAAGAAAAAAAAAGTGGGGTTTTCTTTGTCATTTGTGGTTACTCGTTGGTTGCACTCTCTCTCCGATTTCCTTATCCATTGCTCCTTTCTTCTTCCCACTCAAACTTCTCTGCAACTATATCTATGAAAACCCACCGCCATTAATAGATTTTGAAGAACAACGAAGAAGAAGAAGAAGATGACATGTTTATTGCCGCAATTCAAATGTCAACCTGACACTTTCTCTATTACCTCCATTCTTCATCCTCCTTCTGCTTCTTCTGCATCTTCCCTCTGTATGTTTTTCATCCTTTTTAAATATCATGATTTTAACTTAAAAAGGTTTAATTTTGATTACCCTTTTCAATTTTATTGCCTAAAGTTTTAAACTTTTTGATTAGAGTTTACTAATTCTTGTATACTTTTATGCTGATTAATGTGTAATTTGATTAATTTGTTTATTACCCATTTGAAGCATGTATTGAATTTTAGTACTAGAATTATCTTAATTTCAATTTTGCTCGATTTTCTGTCTTTTTTATTGTTCTGAGGTCAATGTGATGAGGGTATAGAGTTAAGAAGTTGTGATTTTGATTGTTATTATGTGATATTGGCAGTGAGAAATAGAGATTCGGTCTGTTTTCGCACACAATGTGCGGTGTCTACTCCACCAGCACCAACAGCAGCAGCAGAAACTGCTGTATTTGATGTTGAGAAGCTGCGCTTGTCTTATGTTGAATCTAATTCCAATTCACTTTCTGCATATGCACATGCCAATTTTTCGAGCACTTTGGGCTCTCCAGCTGAGGTCAGAACTCATTAATCTTTGCATTATTGTGTGTTTGAATGATGGGATTTCGAGGGAAGGCGAGGGAAGGGAGATTCCAGGGATGTGAGGATCTATTTTTTCGATTGTTTCGATATACATTGGTGTAGTCTGTAGGGCAGGTAATTTAAGGAATGTAGGATCATATTTAGAAAATGTGAGTAAGATCCTCGCGTCCCCTTTCCTTCCTTTGGTAATTGTTTCGCAAACATAGTGTTGATCATGTTCTAGTTTTTTTCTAGTTATACCTAACTGAAATTCAGTTTTAAGAATATGCAATTTTTGGCTATACTGGTTTACATCAGGTCATTATGTTTCCATTCTTATCTTTGGTTGCATTTACTTGCTATATTGTGTTATTTGGATTGTTGTTGTATGTTTTTTTTGTAATAAATAAAAGGGAATTAGAAGGTATGATGAATGTTGAGGGTTGTATGCATATTGATGAGGTTTAGGCATGCTCACTAATGTGCAAACTGTATCATTTCATTCAACTGATGAGTTTTTAGATCCACAAGTAGACTGAAAACCTTTTGATTTTGGGGCAATATGACACTCTGACTCCTTCTGAGGGACAAGTGTCATACATCTTATGATCACATCCGAGTGCCTGAGTATCCGGCATGGAGACTTTGGATTAGAATAACAGCCCAGGTGTAGTGTGCAACAATTCAAGATATGGGTAACGATAACTTAATGTATTGTAAAAAAATTTCTTCCCCCCACATGTGGCTTTAGGAATCACAGTAAATGGAATGTTATTACTGCTGTTTTTATTGCTTTTGTAATGAAGGTGAAGCAACGTGCTCTATCAAAAAGCCGCTCATTTTCTGGAGGTTTTTTTTTTATTTTTTTTATTTTTTTTATTTTTCCCCTCGTAAAGAAATGAAACCTATACATATGCATCTTTAACTAGTAAACCATTTTCTGTATTCATCGTCAGGCAAAGTATGATACTGCATTGGCAGCTAAGGTACTGATTGAAAATGAAGAAGCTGTTATTGCCGCCGCTGCTGCTGAAGCAGTTACCTTGGCAAGGGCAGCAGCCAAATTTGCAAAGGATGCCGCACAAATGGCTGTTAACAGTCAACCAAAGAAACCAGAGTCTAAGCCTGAAGGTCAATCACTTCATTTTAATGGTGCTCAACTTTTAGAAAGTGAACAATTATGTAATGTCAGAAACTTTGAGGGTGCTGGCACTACTCTTAGAGAAAGTGACCTCATGGAGCACCCTGTTTCTGAACCTGCTGACATTGAGCCAACAAGTGAGGAGCTTCAACTCCTAGAAGCAGAACTTGTTGAGAGCATTGCTGTTAGGTCAACACGCCAAGGAGAGAGAAAGGCCAGGAGAGATAAGGCTGCAGAGAAGGCTGCATCTAATGTTGTTTCTGTCAAGGTGGGGAATGGCCGCAGAAAGCGCACATCCGTGCAGGAAGTGGACTATTCTGATCCATTGCGTTACATAAGAGGCACTGGCTCCTCTAAGCTTCTTACATCTTCTGAAGAGCTGGAGTTGTCAGCAGGAATTCAGGTATGTCTAATCTTTTTGTTATATAAATGTGGTCTATATGACCAAATGTCATGCGTATGAGCTAGTAAACTTTCTTCTCTTGAGAGTTCATATGAGGAAATGGAAGATTATAGTCAGAGCAGGTTAAGAAAATTATCAGTTTTGTTCAATTTTTTTAGGTATTCTTTCATTGATCTCATATAGCAGGTGATCCTTAAAACATTATTATATCACAGAACATACAGGAAAATGCTTAAGATGTGGTTATGCTTATCTTAAGAATATGCTGTCTTGTGTAGGAAGCATATGTCTTCCATGCTTTCATGTTTGAACGAAATCTGAGGGCCCTTTGATAACATCCTTGAATATTGGTCCTTTTTTTTTTGTAAAGGCAGATAACATAGAAATAATAGTAAAAAACAAAAACCGAAGTAGAAAATCACCCATAATATGCAGTTCTTAAGAGATCCAAATCATTAAATGAACCCTCCTCAAATGTTCAAATTTTCGCATGTGAGATTATGGATTATGTCTTTCAGTACCTCCATTCCTTTCTGGCTGTTGCACTTTTGCTAACTTGTGCTTTTTTCCTATTTTGGCAAACCTTTTTTACTTGAACTCCACTTACAAGATTTACAACTCTCTTTTTCTTACAGAAACCTCACAACACATCTCTCATTTTGTACATTCCCCACTTTCGACAATGTGCACTCTTTTCTACTTTTTTTGGTTTCTGTTGCTACTATATAACTCTAATTATCATTTAGGAAATGAGGTAGTGTTACATATTTGGGATCCTCTGTGGTTTGGGCCTCTTGTCAATTGATGTTGACGGCTGTCAGCTGGCCCTATATAAAGTCCTTGTTGTGAAGGACTTTAATTGTTAAATAGCAGATAATAAAAATCCAGTTTGTGTGAACAAAATGTATCTGTGTAGAAATATCATATTCCTACAAAACTCAAGGATGTATACAATTCAAATTTCTTTGGTCCTCTGTTAATGACCTAAGTTAATGTACAAATTTGAGTTGAGAGTTTGTATCCAAAGTCAACATCGATGAGTTTTAAGAGCACATGACATTGCTCGGCTCTTGTATTTGGCTATATAAACTGACATCAGCAGTTATCAACTATTTCAGGATTTGCTCAAACTAGAAAGGCTGCATAAAGAACTGATAGAAAAATTTGCGGAGGAGCCATCATTTATGCAGTGGGCTGCTGCAGCAGGTGTTGATCAGAGGACTTTGAGGAAGCGTCTAAACCATGGTAGATTTTGTAAAGATAAAATGATTAAAAGCAACGTAAGGCTTGTGATATCAATTGCCAAAAATTATCAAGGATCTGGAATGAATCTTCAAGATCTTGTTCAGGTTTATGGCCTTTCTGCCCTCTTGTCCACCTACATCGACCTAAAATTTGCAAGATTATTTCTTGTTATTCTCAACTTGTTATTGCATGTGACCTATGAAAGTAAATTTATTGACTTGCAGGAAGGATGTAGAGGCCTTGTTAGAGGTGCAGAAAAGTTTGATGCCTCCAAAGGGTTTAAGTTCTCAACGTATGCTCACTGGTGGATAAAACAGGCAGTTCGAAAATCTCTTTCTGATCAGTCAAGGACTATCCGCCTTCCAGTAAGTGCTCTTTACATCCCTTTCCCTTATTGATCGAAAAATCTGGTTGCAGTCTCCTAGACATGTCTTTGACCATTATATAATTATATGCTTGGTATAAACAAAGATCATAGTAGATAAAAAACATTACACATCGAAATGAATCTAAGACCCATGGGTTGTTTTTTTTTTTTTTTTTTTTTTTTTTTTTTTTTTTTCCGTTTGTTATAATCAGACCTTTCTTGGGGGGGGGGGTGGCTAGTGTTTCATTGTACAAGGGATGAAGGGGGCTTAAGTTAACATGACTCTGAATTATCATTTTTGTCTCGCATATATTGTTTTACAAGGCTGTAAGTAAGTGTGTTTTCATGTTTTGATTGTAAATGCAGTTTCACATGGTTGAGGCAACTTATAGAGTAAAAGAAGCTCGGAAACAGCTGTATAGTGAAAATGGAAAACAACCTGAAAATGAGGCAGTTGCAGAGGCTGCAGGGCTTTCAATGAAGAGGCTAAATGCAGTGCTAATGACTCCTAAGGCTCCTAGGTCTTTAGACCAGAAAATTGGTTTCAATATGAATCTTAAACCTTCGGTATGCATCATTTCTCCATCTTTCTTCTATCCCATGCAATTCAACTCTTTTATTTCATTCATGGCTTCAAGTCCTGACTCCTTGTGGATTGCTCTCCAGGAAGTAATTGCAGACCCTGAAGCAGAAACTTCTGAGGATTTGTTGACTAAGCAGTTCATGAGGCAAGATCTCGAGAAGGTCTTGGACACATTGACTCCAAGAGAAAAGCAGGTGGTAAGGTGGAGATTTGGATTGGAAGATGGAAGAATGAAGACACTACAAGAGATTGGTGAGCTGATGAGTGTCAGTAGGGAAAGGATTAGACAAATTGAGTCGTCTGCATTTAGGAAGCTTCAGAATAAGAAGAGAACAAAAAATTTGCAACAATACATGTTCTTATAAGATCCAAGAAGCTGAAGTTTAAATTCAAAATCTCTGCCACTGTATGTTACATCTTGTTTTTATTTTCTCATTCACGCTTAATTGAGTTAGAGAGCCCTTATTTCCTTTTTCTCATTTTCTATATTAGGGAGGAAAAAAGGGGGCTAGTGGTAATGATGTATGTGGCAAATTGGGGAACTACAATGTTCATATATGGTACAAAGGTCATTTTCTGCCCCAATTGTGGAAGTGTAGCAGATTTGATACTGAATTTAGGGCTAAACAAAGGAATGATACATGTAACAAGGACTTTATCTGAAACCATCATTCATTGAGGTGTATCAAATTTGTACATTTACTTGTGAAATACTCAAATTGAGGCATTGAGCCAATGCAATATCTCAATGCAGCTCTTTTCCATTGATATTACAAAATTGAGTTGTGTAAGATAACTCAAAATTTAAAAATTGAATATTCAGCTATTGATTTAACCTAGATATTGGATGCCTAATAAAGATTCATAACTACCTTCTAATTAACATGAAATTGATAAAAAAAATGTTGAATTAGTGATAGGGTTTTAAAATGTTAGAACACTTTCTTGAATTATCTTCGAATTATTAACCTTTTTGTCAAGATGAAGGTGAGAAGGGAAGCACACCCTTTCATTACTAACATTCTCTTAATGCACTCAATTAACCCTAACGAGCCTAGGAGAGCAAAGACACTTTCATGAATTTGTAACATACGCCAATGTTCATACTTCATAGTTAGGACTTAGGATTGGGCAAAACTCATGAAAAGACCATCCTCACTCACAAAGTCACAAGCATTGAATTTCACAATTTCGAGGAAAGAGTTACTAAAGAGGACATATGTCAAAAACGCGTAAATCCTATCTCACAATTAATATTTCAAAGCGCGTAAATCATATCCTATCCTTCAACGGTCCACTTATTGACTTTAAGTCAAAGTTGAAAATTAAAATCTCCATTATTGCAAAAGATATCAATTCAATAAAATGTGATATCGCCATTATTACACAAATACCAATAATTCTGTAACGGCGTCTACAATTATACACGGCGTTTCATAAAATTGAGTACAAATATACCTCTATACATTGTACTTTGCCCTCATTACATGTCAGAATATTGTGCCCAAATAGATAGGAGAGCAATCAAACCCCAAAGGAGGGAAAACTGAGAAAGAAGAAGAAGAACAACTCATCCTACAGTAGAGAGAGAAAGTGAAGAGAGAGAAACCAATGAAGAAGCCAAATAGCAGTGCAGGAAGTGGGACTCCTCAATCCGAGTCAAACTCACTGACTCACTCTCACTCACTCACTGAGTCTCACCCTTCTCAAAACGACGAGTTTAAGGACTTACCCTCCTCATCCACCCCCAATACGCAGCGTATTAAAGCAGAGGATGAGGTAGAGAGAGAAAATGTCATAGATGTTGATGGGGGTGAGGAGAGAGAAGATGAAGAAGACGATTACGAAGAGGAGGATGACGAAGAAGATGATGATGAAGATGAAGGGTATGAGGAAGAAGGTGAAGGAGGAGCAGAGGAGAGAGAAAGAGGTGAAAATGGAGATGGTGTTGATGGTTCGATTGAAGGGAAAACGAGTGCAGAAAGGAGAAAGCTTGCTGAAGGGTTTTTTGAGGTTGAATTTATTCGTCGAAAGAGGATTTGTAAGGTGATAATTTTGAATTCCCAATTTTGATTTTGATTTTGATTTTTAGGGCTTTTTGATTTTTGTTTGTCTAATTTTGTTCTTGTTTTTGATTAGGGGGAGTGTCAATATTTGATCAAATGGTGCGTATTTTCTCCTTTTCTTTTTCGTCTGTTATTTATAATTTGTTGTATATTGGGTGTTACAGAGGACACTGATATAGACGGGATTTAATCCGAGGTCATTCTGTTTGGTCCGCGTTTTTTTTATTAAGGATTGGCTTATGGATTATGATTGAGAGACATTGTTTATTGTTATGTGGAGATATGATTTTAATTTCTTGTGATAGACTGTTGTAGGTGTAGGAATTATGATTTTGGGTTGTAGTGATTGAAATTGAGAGAATTATCATTTTAATTTTTAACCTAGTTGATTTAAATGTGAAATTATCTGAAACTGGGGGAACATTCAATATAATTGTAGTTGATTTGGTTCAATGAAAATTAGCTGAAATTTCTATTTGTTAAAATCTGTGCTTGATTTAGGCGGGGTTGGCCAGAGAGTGCGAACACTTGGGAGCCTATTGCTCATCTTCAAACTTGTCCTGATGTTGTGGAAGCTTATGAAGAGAGGTTTTTGCTTGCTCTTATCTACATTATAAGTTCATGTTCTGAGCCATTTCTAGGTGTTGGATTTTTTTGCTTATGTAGTGAGTACTAATACATAAAAACATTTTTTCTGCTGACTGTAGCTTGCGTTCTGGCTCAAAGAAGAGTTCTCGAAAGAGAAGACGCAAATTTACCCAACCAAAGAAGAAAATGCAATATACTTATGGTGCTTCCAAGAGTAAGTTAACACCCGTTAGGATATCACTTAGCAATGAACATCAACGCTCTGCTGCTTTAGACAACTCAGTTCAGGCCCATTCTCAACCTGGCATGGTTGACATTGTTGTAGAGAATGATGAGGCAATGAGGAGACCTAGAGCAGCCAAGAGTGTTGATTACAAGGGCTCTGAAACTGTATCTCCACATGTTGCTAGCAATGAAAAACAAAACACTGACCAATTATATGGTCAAAGTTCAAGCGGAAAGAATATGGATGTACATTTTCCTCAGCCTATGACTGTTGAAGGAGATGGTTTAACAAATAGTCAATCCAATGCAAACAGTGTGGAAGTAGGCGAAAGCAATTTACGTCGAGGTGCAAAGCGAAGGAAATCTGGTTCTGTAAGAAGGTTTCCACAGGATACTTCGTCACTCAATATTGATTACTTTGCAAATGCAGCAATTGGGAATATTAGCTCTTGTGATAGAGCTGAAGAGCTTATGTTAGCAAATTCTGATGCCTACCGCAAGAAGAAATTTGACAGCTCAAGGAGTTCCTCTGTTATTACAAGGCTCATCAAGCCAATAAGCTTTACAGCATCGGTGACGAACAACATTCAGGATGTTTCTGTAACCTTTGTGGCAATGAGGTATGCTAAGCCTTCTTCCTAGTTACGTATTATTGTGCAAAGGATTATTATGCTTTGAATGTTATCATGTCTGAAGATCTTCATGTCAGTGTCATATTTTCAGATACTAGCCAAAGTTAAAATTTCTTGGTTGATTGAGTAAATTCCCTAATTACAATCATTTGTCCTATGTCCTCCATATAAACATCATCTCTGTTTTCATTGTAAAGAGCTTGTGTAGTATCATTGAAGTACAATTGCGTGGTTTTTATCAACATGGGGACAAAGCTAAAGGGGTGGGAGGGTGCAGGAAGGAAAATAGCCAAAATTGTATGAGACATCTGATATGAGGTTGAGTTTTGAATTACATTTATGAAAAAGGATATTGTTAGAGCTTCTAGTTAAAAGGTGATGTTTGAAGCCCAGTTAGAAAAAATGCTATAACAAACATCATTTTGGAAAGTTGATTTCGGTAAACTTTACTTTGGCTTCAATATATACTAAAATTTCAATCTGTTTAATCAACTTGAGTTTTGATTTTTTTCATTTTATGGCTGACATATGTTTGACTAAGTTTGATGATAATTCAAAACTAAGATATGTGCCTCTATTTTTTAGCCTCCTTAGATTAATCTTTATGTATGTTGTGGTTTGGGTGAATCCTCTTGGTGTAAACCTTGATATTGGCACTTCGATGTGCTGGGAAGTTGAGGTACCCCTGTTTTTTAGGCCATATTTATTTTGATGTCACGCTTTGAAGTTCATTCTACATGAAATGTAAATTCAGATAACTTCCCTAACTTCCTTTTCCCTTTCTCTCGCTGGGGTGTGAATTTGATAGCTTGAGAATTAGATAAGGTAGATTATCTTTGTGATGTTTCCGGGGGGAGGGGGGGGGGGAGTGGAAATTTGGGATGACTGAGGTCATCTTAAAAGGTAAAACAAATGTATATTGATATGTTTTGAGTAGTTTAGTTTGTTAGAGGGATGTTGAAAAAAGGAATGTTTATATAATGTACTTGGTTCATGATCATGGGAATAGCAAACAGTTAATTGGATTCTAATTTTCAAATTGGGTAAAGATCTCCTTTATGATTTACTGTGGTAATACCCTGATTCTTATATATTGAAAGGGTCAGCTCCTTGCAATTATTAGTCAACCAGCAGTGATGAAGGAATGTGGGGAGGTTAAAAGATTCTGGAGAGAGAGGCTAGCTTTAGTATTATAATTCATAAGCGGACTTGATGAAGGAATGAGGGGAAATGAACCAATTCTGAAGAGAGAGGCCAGCTATTTCTGTTAATTTAACTCCATTTACTCTTTTGAAAGAGCCATACATTATTGATTCAGCAAACCTTTTTCTAGACTGCATACTTGTGAAAAGATGTAACTAAAAATACTAAAAAAACTCGTCACATTTAGTAGTTACAGCTTCCAATTAGTATAGAGAGAAAAATCAATTAAGTAAAATTTTCTGAGGTCATTTTTGTTGCTGGATCACATCCCTCTCTTCTGACCTCTTAAAGCTTTATATTTTACCTAGTACTGTGCTTTGGGTTTGGCTCAAATCATCATTTCTATTATCATGAGGACACCCACTTGCTATTTGCTAAGTTTAGTATTTTCAAAATGCCTTCGATTTTCCTGATTTTCTTTGCATTTCATACTCATGCTTAGTGGTTTGTTAATTGGTCCTTTGTTTTGATCATACATGTTCCCTTCAAACTCAATGTTATTCTTGATAAGCTACTGAAACTAGTATAATGTCCCTATGAATGTAGCAACCAACAGATGCATTTTTTTTTTACATTGGTCCTGCACTGTCTTTCTTGGTTTCTGCCCTTGTCTGGAATCTTTTGTTATGGTTTGTGGTTTAGTCTATCTTAATAATACTTTTGCAGTTGCAGACATGTATATTTTCTCCTGTAATTCTTTGTGATGCTCACTAATTTGTGTTTTTTTAAGCAATTACAATTTTTACGGCTGTGCTTGATTGTTTTAGGCGTCTGTGTGTTATTGCTGTTATATATATATATATATATATATATATATATATATATATATATATATATATACAAAGATTTGGCTGCAGCCTTGTTAGTTGTTACAAGCAGTTGCTGCAAAAATCCTTCTCCTTGCATCAACTAGAAAGCTTTGGACTGTGAACACTGCTGGTATTTGATGCATCTTGTTTACTAGTATTTGCTTTCATATAGGAGCCCTGAACCACCAGTCTTATTTATTGGAGTTCTATCCTAAGTTCCAGCTTTGATAAAAATCCATCCTTAGTGAATTGTGGTGTCCTGTTTAAATTTTTTGTCCAGCAATGAGCTGGACTGCCAGATATGGTGTGTCAATTATCTGACCTTCGACTGAGTTATTCCAACTGTGTTGTCATAGCCTCATCATAGAACACTCACATTTTATGTACTCCATATATAAACTGCGCTATATGTTGAAATAAATATCTTTAGTTGTGAGATCTCAGTAGTAACATGCATGGTGATGAGCTGTTACAAGGAAATAATTCCTTTTTAGAAGAGTTGTAGAGTATTTGAAAATGATGTGGCCTGACAGTTTTGTTGATTATGGTTCTATGTGATGTTCTTATTGACATTTGTTTCATACAATGAGTCTTCTGTATTGTTTCTGTCTTCTAGGTCTGATGGAAAGGAAGTTATGGTCGATAACAAGTATCTGAAGGCAAACAACCCCCTTCTGGTAATATTCTCAGTTTTTATAGTGATATATTGATGTTCACTAAACTACTTAAAGGTGGCTATAGTATCTCACATTTCCCTCTTTGGTGTGGTTACAGTTGATCAATTATTATGAACAGTGTCTCCGGTATAGTCCAAATTGAAGTCGATTAATTTCTAAGAGCATCTCTGGTACAGTGGATCATTATCGAAGAAAATCATCTTCCACAACTTTTGCCATTTTGTATGGAATAATATTCTGATAGTGCATTGGAGATCCAGAGGGGCCTTTCTGATAGACAGACTGGAAATGTAGATGATTTGTGCCATAAGTAGGATTTTGTGTATCATCTTATATGGAGTAGAACTATTTTTAGTAGGGCATAGCATAGGTTCCGAGATTAAATGGTGCAGTGCTGACATAGCTGTTGTGATGATCCACACATTAGAATATACTTTGTTGAATGCTAAATTGGTGGTAATATGATTGGTGATTGGATGGCATGGCATTTGTGTATTTGTACAATTAAATGTGGTGAGCCTGGTGACTGTTAGCTCAGGTGGTTAGCTGATCTACTGCGTATTTTAAAAGCATATCTTTTGGATGGTTGTCGTGTCCTCTAACAGGCGAAAGTACTACTGCAAGTATTACAGAGTAGTCAAAAACTATCAAACTATCTATTCTTTGTTTGATTACCATTTTTAAGAAGTTGCTCTATATTCAACTTCATTGGGTCAGAATATATCCTTTAATTTACATCAGCCATGGTAGGATCAAGTAAAGACAATTATTCTTCACCTTCTTTGGTTACATCAATATCTAAATCTTCTATTTTAAAACTTGATGAATTCTGACTATTAGTACTTGACATATTTACTCTTTCTTCAACACTAGAATTGGAAGTAAGATCAAAACTCTGCAGGGAAGTATGACTATAACACTTGTATTCTTACAGTGTTCAATATGTTAGTTTGATAATCAAAATTTCAATTACATTTTTTTTTTTGAAGGGAAAATTTTCAATTACATATTATTAAATATTATAGTACTTTTAAAATGGTACATCAGAACTATTTAACAAGATCTCTCATATCATATTTTTTTTCTTATGTAGTGGTGATAATTTAGAGTCAAGGATTTATAGTCCCACCTTCAAAACTACAAATGACAAACACTTTTTAAGTTTTTTTTTTTATAATTCAAACATTTAAGCATCGCACCTACTAAATTTATAGGTGCAAAAATTGTCCGGATTTGATCCAACTTGTGCTAGAGATTAGCTTGGTTACAGCACTATTAATGGCAGAAATTCAGAATGAAGATGATGATTATAGTAATAAGATGAGACTTACATCTAATTCAATGATAATTCCACTTTCGAGAGGTGGATTCTCTCCCAAGTATGAGGTTTTGAGAGGCTCACTCACTTCCAATAACAAACCTCAACAATATTTAACATGACTTAATTCCTCCTACTAGTCTATTTATAATAAATATCCCTAACAAACCTCTAGCTATAACACGACTCAATCCCAAATTCTCAAAATAACCCGACTCGAACCCAACCTATGACCCGAAGTGACACCTTGTAGTAGTCACCCATTTGCCCCAAATTCCTTAACTAGCAATAACCATCTTTATAACACCAAACAACGGTAAAAGCTCCTAGAATGCAATCAAAGAAAAGAAAAACTCCGGCAAATCTTCCGATGGATTCTTCGCCGGAGACTTTGCCGGCGATCACCTCTCTCTCTCCTCCCGTTGTCTCCTTCCTCAACTCCACATTCCCTCCGACACACAACCTCAATCTCTCCGAATCAACTAACCTGGTCACCGAGTTGGACACTCACTGCTCTGAGTTGACTCACCATCTCACCGATCTTACTCGCCGCCTCGACGCTAGTCTTCTCTCTTACGCTTCTTCTTCTCACCGAATTTCCGACGCTTTTCATCATGTTCATCGTCAGCTTCAAGATCTCAAATCCAAATCCTCCTCTTTTGCTTCTGCTTCAGGTTTTCATCTTTTCCATTCATCAATTAATAACCGATTTTCCTGGAATTTGAATCGAATTATTTAATTTTTCAATATTTTTTGAAAAATGTTGTGAAGATGGAGAAGCGGAGGATATGGCGGTAGATGAACTACCAGCATTGGCAAAAGAAGTTGCGAGAGTAGCGACGGTGCGAAATTATGCTGGTTAGTTGATAAATTGAAATTTAATTTGTGTGTTTTATAAAGTTTAATTATAATGCAATTCATATAATTTGTGATTTTTTTGTAAGATAAGCTGCTAATTTGAAGTTGAGTCTGGTTATGATTTGAGTATTAATGTGATTATCAGAAATTAAAGTTAAACCTAATTAGTGGAATTTGATGTAGCATTCATAATTCTGATTAAAATGTCATAAGGAAAATATATAAAGAGTATTCTTTTTGTGAATCTTGGCCTATAATTTGTCAAAATTAATAGCATAAACCGCTTTACAATTGATAATTAGGTTAAATGTAGGAAAATAGAAATCACTATTTACGTCGGAATTATGGTAAGGGTGGGTTGATCATTGGTGTACATTAGAACCATCTGTAAATCCTGTCTGTGGTAAGAATTTGATGGGGTTGTTGTGGTGTTATCTTAACCTTATGATCTCATTCAATTTAATCAAGAGCTTATTTCGAGTCTTTCTTTCATTAACAATCATAATAGCTGTGAAATTGAGGTAAGTTCTTTTCATTTGTAAGAGTGATTGTTGATATATTTGTAATAATAATATCAAGCTGGTGAATCTTCCTTTCAATCTAATAAAGTTACTCATCATTTGTATCCCATCTTTCCTAAGTGCTAAAGTTTGGATAAATTTAGGAAAAAACATATATAGATAAGTTAAGAGCAAGGTTAATATGGGCTACCCAAGCTCAATTTACGACTAATAATAAGCTTTACTAAGTTTAGATTAATAATTCACATAAGTTCATAATTCAATTAGGTTGTAGAAAAGTTTAGTTGATTTTAAACAACTTCAGCTCCTACTGAAAATCAAGGTGAATACAACGCACCCTTAGAGCTTTAGAGGTTTTCCTCCATATATTAAAAAGCTTTGATACTCAGGTTAGGTGGTTATGTCGACACAAGGTATAGGCTTTGAATTGGGTTTGGTGGAGCCTCTTGGCATCTAATGGTTTGGCTGGCCACTGGTGGTTTGCAGTAAATTGATTATTTTCAATTCACTGAAATTTGACTCTAGGTCTAAGAGAACCAGAGTGTAAATCATAGCCTTTGAATGAGCTTGTGGGTGTATTATTTTCTCTTTACTAAAACAATAGGGCACGTCCACTGCTGGAAATTCAGATTTGATTTCCTTTTGAAATAGGTTATGGGCAATTGGCATTTCTTACTACGCTCCAACATTATTAAAAGATCCAGCTTTGAAGGTCTTTTCAAGTCTTTTACATGCCATTGCCATTTTTCTAATGGCTAAAAGTTTTCAGTAGAAGCAGCATGCTGGATTCATGAGTAGACTGGTCTTGACATAATTCTGAAATGGTGCCCTAGTGATTTTCCTGTATATCCTCTAATTTTTTTATTTTTTTAATTTTTTTTTTATCAACAGGCTATAATTGACATTTGTGAGATTTTGTTTGCTGGAAAATTAAAGTTGTAGAGCAATTTTTTTCTCGTCTTGGCTGTTCCTCTGATCACGGTCACCTTTATTTTGATTTCAGAGACAGCATTGAAGCTTGATAGCCTGGTTGGTGACATTGAAGATGCAGTCACTTCTGTGATGAACAGAAATCTGAAGAAACAGTCTACTAGACAGCATTCAGAGGTTCTCCCTGGAAACTATCATCAGCTGAATGGTTTCTGTTTGGAGTCATGCTTCAAGAGTTGATTGTCTTACTTTGTTACATCTTTTTTCGCAGGAAATACGTGTTAATGCAATCAATTCCCTTAAATCAGTAGATGATATTTTAGCTTCAGTGACAAGGGAACATCCTCAATGGGTCCGAATTGTGTCAGCTGCTGATCATAGAGTTGATCGCGCCTTGGCTATTTTGAGACCCCAGGCCATTGCTGATTACCGTGCCCTACTTGTTTCGATTGGCTGGCCACCACCTCTTTCCACATTGAGCTCTTCAAATACTGAAAGAAGAACTGTTGAAGAGTCAAATCCTCTCTCAGCAATGCCTGGAGAGCTTAAACAGAAGTATTGTGAAAATTTTCTTGCCTTATGCAGCCTACAGGAGCTACAGCGGAAAAGGAAGTCACGGCAACTTGAGGGGTATAACCATAATACTTCTATGTACCAGCCACTCTGGGGTATTGAAGAACTTGTGAATCCTCTCTCCCTTGCATCGCTTCATCATTTCCAAAAGTGGGTAGATAAGCCTGAATATATTTTTGCTCTTGTCTACAAGAATACAAGGGATTATATTGATTCAGTGGACGGATTGTTGCAACCCTTGGTGGATGAAGCAATGTTGACAGGATACAGTTGCAGAGAGGAATGGATTTCAGGTATGGTGACCTCCCTGTCAACTTACTTGGCAAAGGAAATATTCCCTGCGTATGTTTCTCGTTTGGATGAGGAGACTACAGTAGAGGTTAGGCCTCAGGGAAGAATGTCTTGGCTTCATCTGGTTGATTTGATGATAGCATTTGATAAAAAGATTCAAGCTCTTGCTGCCCTCTCTGGGATCTTCGACTCTGAGGAATACAGTCTCTTGCAAAGGATGTCTTCTCTCTCCGTCTTCTGTGATCGGCCAGACTGGCTTGATTTATGGGCACAAATAGAACTGGACAATATACTAGAGAAACTGAAACCTGAGATGGAAGATGAGAGAAATTGGACAACAAAAACTCGAGGAGCAGTTCTTTTTCCTGGGTCTGATGTTTATAAATCTCCTGTAGCTTCATCCGTAGTTCTCCAACATGTATCATCAGTCATTGACCGCTGTAGATCAATACCTTCTGTGTTTTTGAGATCTCGATTCGTAAGACTTGTGGGTGCTCCAATAATCCAGACCTTCCTGAATTGCTTGCTTACCAAATGCCAAGAAGCGGAAGGGCTCACAGCTTTGGCAGATGATGATGCTGTGGCCAGAGTTATGACAGCAGTTAATTCTGCTCACCATCTCGAGTCTATCTTAGTCGAATGGTGTGATGATATTATCTTTGTTGAAATGGGACTTGCAGATGACAATGAATCAGGAAATGGTTTTGGAGAGAGTAGCCTTTCCACTGGTGTCACTGAGGGAAATGAAAATGGGGTTTTAGATGAGGAAATCACGAGACTAGAGGAGTTTAGAAAAGAATGGATTGATAAGATGACTAATGTTGTTTTACGAGGATTTGATGCTCAGATTCGAGATTATATAAAGAATAAGAAGCAGTGGCAAGAAATGATTGAAGAAGGCTGGACGGTAACAAGATCTTTTGTAGTAGCTCTTGATTTTTTGCAGGGGAAGATTTCTAGGTTGGAAGAAGGTCTAAACAACATGGACTTTATTACAGTATGGAGAAGTTTAGCGAGTGGAATAGATCGCTTGATATTTAATGGTATTCTTATGAGCAACACAAAGTTCTATAGCGGGGGTGTTGAGAGGTTTGGAGGTGACATGGATGTTTTATATGGCGTATTCAGAAGTTGGTGTTTGAGACCTGAAGGTTTCTTTCCCCGTGTAAGTGAAGGCCTCAAGTTGCTGAAACTAGAAGAAAATACCCTTCAAGAACTGTTTATTCAAGGAGAGGGCTGGATGAAACATCATGGAATTAGACATATGAGCATAGCCGAGGCGGAAAAAATAGCGAGGTGTAGAATCTTCAAGTAGTAAAATTTAGGGCAAGATAAACCCCTACCCTCCCCGCTTTAAAGATATGAGTGATGTTATAGGAATATAGTGATGTACATCATGGAGTTTTTTCTAATAAACTAACCCAATTTGTTTTTAATACAAGTGGCAATAATCCAATTTTTTGTCTCATCAGATGTATTGATATATTGTGAATAATATAGCAAGTTTTTGTCTGTAAGATTTTGATATTGAATCATGTAAGATTTTGCAAGGGACTGTAAGAGTTTGGTATTGAATCATGGAGTATCAAGCACGTCCTTGTTTTTGCACTTAAGTGGTACTCGGTGAATATGAGCTATATGCTCTTGCATCAGATGTTCAAGCTGATCATCCAGAGACGACAACGTTGTCCAGCAGATCCTCTCGCCAATGCAGTCGCCTAAGGGCATAAGTGAGGCAAACCCTGCCACTGTAATTGGTGTTCGAATACAGTCTACAAATTTGATGTATGCAATGTCATATGAGTGGTCTATACGATCTTTTGGAATCTTGGCACATCCTAACACCTAAGAGATCACTTGAGGGTTCAGAATCCCTTTCTCTTAGATATTTAGGATATTTGCCTTGTGAGTCACAAAGAATGAATGAATTCTTCTAGACATTCCTCGAATCTTTGTAAGTGCTATTGATGTGTATAATGCCATACATGCTCAAAAGCTCAAGGTGTTGTGGACTATGCATCTTAAAGTGTATTGATTATCTGGAATCGTATATGTTCACTACTTCATATCACACAAATGCCCATGGTGGCTTTAAATCAATGACGAGAGGTCTTAATAAACGACCTACAAGAGTATATGTTGTAAGGTAGTCAAGAGCTGCAAGAGATGGATCTTATCACTACATGACTGCAACACGCATAAGTCAACAGAGGGACGAAACACAGTATCGTGTTTTAAACTTCTAGCAATTTGACTAGTTGTGGCATAAGTCTATAGAGTGACGAAACACGGTACCGTGTTTGAAGCTGCTATGGATATGACTGCAACACGCATAAGTTAATAGAGGGACGAAACATGATATCGTGTTTTAAACTTCAAGGAATTTGACTAGTTGTGGCAAAAGTCTATAGAGGAACGAAACACGGTACCGTGTTTTAAACAGCTATGGATGTGACTACAACACGCATACGTCAATAGAGGGAGGAAACATGGTATCATGTTTTAAACTTCTAGGAATTTGACTAGTTGTTGCATAAGTTAATAGAGGGACGAAACACGGTACGGTGCTTTAAACTTCTAGGAATTGGAGTAGTTGTGGCATAAGTCAATAAAGGGACGAAACACGGTACCGTGCTTACAACTGCAATGGATTTGACTTCAACACGCAAAAGTCAATAGAGGGACGAAATAGCGTACCGTGTTTTTAACTTCTAGGATTTTCACTAATTGTGTCATAAGTCAATAGAGGGACGAAACACGGTATCGTGTTTTGAACTTCTAGGAATTTGACTAGTTGTGTCATAAGTCAATAGAGGTAGGAGGTACCGTGTTTTAAACTTGTAGGACTTTGACTAGTTGTGGCATAAGTCTATAGAGGTAGGAAACACGGTACGTGTTTTAAACTTCAAGGAATTTGACTAGTTGTCCGTGATAGGCTTGAGTTCACGAAATTCGTGCAAGTTGTGAACGGGTAAATTGACCATTTTAAGGCAAATTGGATAGTACCACCCACCTAATTGTACTCCCAGAGGGTATTAGGGACACTGGTAAACTTCTCGGCAATTTTTTTTTCCGGGCGAAAAAAAGGTCAAAAAATCCAAAATTGAAAGTTATTATCCACGCTTTTTGCGGAATTTCGGAGGTTACGGGGCCCGGTGGAGAAAATTCTTGAGGCCCTAGGGGATACATCTCAGGGTCATGTAATGCCGTTTGAAACCATATATGATCATTATATGTTGTCATAATAAATGTCCGTAGTAGGCTTGAGTTCACGAAATCGGTGCAACTTGTGAACGAGTAAATTGACCGTTTTAAGGCAAATTGGATGGTTTCTCCCACCTAATTGGACTTCCGGGGGGTATAAGGGACCATGGTAAACATCTCGAAATTTTTTATTTCCGGTCGAAAAAAGGTAAAAAAAACTCCAAAATTGAAGTCTATTTATCCACGCTTTTTGAGGAATTTCGGATGTTATGGGGCCTGGAGGCGAAAAGTCTTGAGGCCCTAGGGGATAAATCTTAGGGTCATATAATTCCGTTTGGAACCATATATGACCGATATATGTTGTCATAAATGTCTGTGGTAGGCTTGAGTTCACGAAATCGGTGCAAGTTGTAAACGGGTAAATTGACCGTTTTAAGGCAAATTGGATGGTTTCACCCACCTAATTGGACTCCCAGATGATATTAGGAACCATGGTAAACATCTCGATAATTTTTTTTCGGGCGAAAAAATGTCTAAAAATTTCAATATTGAAGGCTATTATCCACGATTTTTGAGGAATTGCGGAGATTATGGGGCTCGGTAGCGAAAAGTCTTGAGGTCCTAGGGAATACATCTCAGGGTCATAAAATTCCGTTTGGAACCATATATGACCATTATTTGTTGTCATAAATGTTTGTGGTAGACTTGAGTTCACGAAATCGGTGCAAGTTGTAAACGGGTAATTTGACCGTTTTAAGACAAATTGGATGGTTTCTCCCATCTAATTGGACTCCCGGGGGTATTAGGGACCATGGTAAACATCTCTGAAATTCTTATTTCCAGGCGAAAAAAGGTCAAAAAAATTCCAAAATTAAAAATCCACGCTCTTTGAGGAATTTCGAAGGTCACGGGCTCGGGTGGCGAAAAGTCTTGAGGGCTGAGGCCCTAGGGGATATATCTAAGGGTCATATAATTCCGTTTGGAACCATATATGACTGATATATGTTGTCATAAATGTCTGTGGTAGACTTGAATTCACGAAATCGGTGCAAGTCGTGAACGGTTAAATTGATCGTTTTAAGGCAAATTGGATGGTTCCACGCACCTAATTGTACTCCCAGAGGGTATTAGGGACCATGGTAAACTTCTCGGTAATTTATATTTCCGGGAGAAAAAAAGGTCAAAAAATTCCAAAATTGAAGGCTATTACCTAAAGGTTCTATTAAGGTGCGAAAAATGTTGATTGAGCCATTTGCTAATTTTTTGGGGGGAGAGAGCGGGTGGGGGATGAAAGCTAGGGGGTTATTTCTTATGTGAGTTATGAATCAAGAGTTTTCTTAAGAAACAAAAGAGATAGTTTCTGACAAATCTCCTTTATTCTTCTAATTGTAAAAATATTTTTAATTTCTTTTAGGAAAATTTTTAATTTACCACCCAAAAATAAACCTAATTTCTAACTTACCACCCAATTTTTTTTTTATTTTAAATTACCACCCAATAATTTAATTATTCACTCAGATTACCACCCAATTTGAATTTCCTTTGGAATTTAGTCATGTGGGCCCCAGTCAACGACTATTTTTTTCTTAACAGTTTCCCTCCCCGATTCTTCCTATAAAACACTTCCCCTAACTGAAATTGCCATCCCATGTTAAATTTCTTCAGAAATTCCACAAATTGGAGGTGAATTGTAACAGCAGTAGCAGCCCTAATTTGCGACAAAAAATCAATTCGCTTCAGGTATCCTTTTAATCTGTAAAAATTAGGGTTCTTGTCTGAATTAAATTGGGGGAAATTGTTGTCAATTTAATTGGGGGAATTAATTAGGGCTAAGCAGTACTCTATTGCCTTCTGACTGACCTATGCAGCTGGTCCCCAACAAAATCCTCCAAGATGTTGACTTTTCTTCAGCGTATCTTCTCCAGTAAAATCAGCTACCCTCAAATTAATATTTTGCAGAACAATTAGATTTTTAAAACCAAAATTAGGGTTCCAATGTGATGATATGTTGAGAATTAAGAAGAAAAGGGGATTTTTGTGTGAATTAAGGGCTAAAAATGAATAAGAAATGGAGTTGGTTGGGAGAATTGAATAGGAAAGAGAAGGAAGTCGAAGAAAAAGAAAAAAAAATTGGAGGGAAGTAACTATAGTGGGCCCACGTGACTAAATTCCACCAAAAATTCAAATTGGGTGGTAATATGAGTGAATAATTAAATTATTGGGTGGTAATTTAAAATAAGGTATATTTTTGGGTGGTAAATAAAAAATTTCTCTTTCTTTTACTTTAGCGGAATTAGCATAGGTGTGGTCATGTGGTTTAGAAATTAGGATGGAAATTCGTGGTGTGACAAATCATATTCTTTAAATAATCAAGGGTTTTTATAGATGCTCTTAATTTAACTGCATGGGTGTTTGTTATAGTAGATTACTTCGAATTTTAGGCTTGAGTTTTTACGAATCTTCTTGGAATAAGATAGCTTTGTTTATTATAGTATATAAATAGATACAAGTAGTTAAACAAAACAATCAATGAAATCACCAATTTGTCTAGGCCAACTACTTAGAAATTCACACACATGAAACATAACATTAAAGCCAAATTACTTTAGTCCAAGGATTACCGAAGGATGCTTACGTCTCTATGAAGCTCTTTCGTGTTAGCTTGTCATCAATGATTGCTTATTAAATTGTACTCCGTATCTTAATTCCTGAGGATGAATTGATTTACATTGACTTCGTCTACCTTAAATAGTAAGCTCATTTCTTAAACAAAAACCTATAATTAAAAAAACTTACAAATAATTAGTTAACCGTCTTTAAAATATTACCTAAAATAAAAGGAGGAATTACCGAAGATAAAGTACTCAATTTCATAGATTAGATAAGAATTTTAACTTTGCAACGTACAATGAAAACTCGTATTTTTTTAGTAAATGATCAAGGTAGTTTAAACACTTTAGAAAGAGGAGAATAACATAGAAAATACTCCAATTATATAACGCGTCGAAGCAACGCGTATAAATATAGAATATAAATTGTGGTTCCTTCATTTTTAACCACTTATATCAATTTCTCAAACCTTCAAACATTTTTTCACACCAAATCAAAAACAAGAAGAAGAACCCAAAGAAAAAATCTTGAGGATCAAATTCTGAAGTTTATTTTGGTAATATTCTTTTCATTGATTTAAATTTGTTATTTTGTTTTTTTGGCCTAATTTCTGATATTTTATTCCCAATAATTAGTTATTTAATTTTCTTCTTTGATTTTTCCCCTTCCCTGTTTCTGTGCTCCTCTGTTTTTCTTATGATCAAGTTTTAAAATTTTATGTTTTTGAATTATTTTTTGTGGCTATTTGTTGATGGAATGGTTCATATCATGTTAAACCCAACTAATATTTTACGATAAATAGTAATTTTATGAATAAATATGAGTTATTGTAGGTTAAATAAAATTAAAGTCATAAATATATAATATATTACATGATTTTGTCTTTCATATCTTCACAAGTATTTCTTTGAGATTTTTAAAAATAAAAAATAAAAAAAAATGATTTTGCAGAAGATTTAATTCTTGTACGTTTTACGCAATCTTTTGTTTTCACAAATTTGTACCTTGAAATCGTGTAAAGTATAATATTAATGATTTGGTAAGAGATTTATCATAAGAATCCTGTACAAAACTTGTACACATGTAATCATGTATAGTCAGTCACAAAAATACTTTGTACTAGGTCACTTTCGAAATTAGTAGGTTAAACATTAAAATGCTCAAGTTTACTAAAGATTTCAATGAAGACTATATTATTGATATGTTGGAATGTGATAAAATATTAAATCGCAGACAATTAAATATGAGCTATTCTGTAAGGACTAAGGACGGAGGGAGGACAACATTTTGTCACGGAGTTGTCTATTATTTCGAATGATTTTGTGGTTTGTCATCGTGATCCCTGATCCTTAGGTCACAACATTGTTATGAGTAACATCTTTAGTACTGCTAGATATAATATCTTCACTATTGTCCTTAATTCTTATGATACTCATTTCTTTGAATAATAGACTAAATTAGCTTGATTGTTGTTGCAGTAACTTCACCTGGCCTGCAAGAATGGACAGGCCGAATAACAATGATACAACAGACAAAGGTCTGTTTTCAGGTCTGATGGGATATGCTGCAGGACATCATCGTCCTCACGGTCATGGATACGGTGCATACCCTCCTCCACATGGATATCCGCCTCAACAGTATCCACCACAGCCTTATCCATCCCATTCCTATGACTCTTATCCACCATACCCGCCTCCTGGTGGATATCCGCCTTCTGGCTATCCACCCCACGGGGGCTATCCCCCTGCCGGGTACCCTCCTCCTGGGGGGTATCCTCATTCATCTGGCTATCCTCACCATTCATCTTCCCATCATTCAGGTACATCCTTGAGCTTTTATTGCTTACTTTTGATTAATACTTCATTACCATTGCTGTCAACTGATGTTGTAATATAACATGTTTTGTATTGAAAAGGCTTTAGACCAAATATGGGACTATTAGCTGGAGGTGCTGCAGCCGCTGCAGCACTCTATGGAGCGCATCATCTCTCACACGGACACCATCATTCGCATGGACATGGTATGTATGGCGGCTTTGGTCATCATGGAAAGTTCAAGCATGGAAAGTTTGGCAAGCGCTGGAAGCATCATGGGGGACATGGCCTATTTGGGCGAGGAAAGTTCAAGAAATGGAAGTGAAGACATTTTGCTATTATCACTAATACTCAATAATACTGTATTTTAGGGGGATTGATCTGGCTTTATGTTTATGTTTAATTATTTTTGGTGTATGAAGAATCGGGTCGTTTAGTACTTGTAGGCCCTGGTATATGAATATATTTATCACTCATTTGTGTTATACTCTAGATAAATAAATTCACCTTGTGTAGATTCAATGTAGTGTCAAATACCAACTTTTGGGTATTAAGCAGATTAGATACTCGTTAATGTGGATGTCAACTAACTAATTCGTTAAAGTATTGGTGAATAGTGTTAATACCCTGTTACATAATTTTAATCAGTTAATCTAAGAACTTTGTTACGTAATTCTGAATTAGAGTCCATATAAGAGGTGCATTGATGTTTTCAGGATGGACAAGTAAAAGACGTTTGTTATATTTGGGATGATAATTGCAGGAAATACTTGAATGAGCAAGAAGAAAATATTTCAACAATTCCACTCGTCGACAGTGTGGCCTGAAATGATTTGGACTGAAAACTAGTTTTTCTACTACAAAATGTATCAAGGACAACAATCACAACATGTGTTGTCTTTGGATATAAAATTTTCTTCCTACCTTTGGAACTATGTACAACCTTGTAACATGCTATACCTAATACCCTGACTCATAACTTGATAATTGCTACAGATTTCGTGCTCAAATTCATGGAAGATATACATTGCCTACAGACTACAGCATTAACAAATTGAGAGCACTGGCCATTCATTTGGTAATACAACAAATATTCATACAACAGGTTACAACACAACTAATTCATCTCTGTAGTCATTTCACTCTAGGGCCGCTCTACGCATATTATGTGCCTCTGGTCCATCCTTCAGTTGCAGCTGACCTGTGCATTCAAAAGTTGGTCAGAACTTCAGCATATTTTACAGATTAAATAACTATGAATGTTTTCTCTCCCATTTTCCTTCACGTCTTCCATCTCGTTCTCTTCTCTCCAGTATTTGCCTGGACTTGCTTCCTCTTGACCCATGTCTTTGAGAACCAAATCCACCAGCGAGGCCATCAAATCCTGGCCCTAGCTCGGGATCACCAGTGCTACCTGTATCTCCAGAATCCTTACTCCCATCAAAGTTTTCCTCATAACTGCTGCTGCACTCATCAGTACGATCACGTGCTTGAAGGATTGTTGGAGGTTGAACTGGGAATGTCCTCGAACCTGAGAGGACGACAGTGGGTGTGGTAGCAAGAGACTGGGTGTTGACCGACATATCAGAAGGTAAGCCGGTATTACTTCCTCTTAAGCTGACATCAGCGTTGGACCTCCCATTCTCTCTGTCCCGATACCGATCACGTGGACGGCTGCTAAGGTAACCGAAAACAAGTTAGGAATTTTGAATTTAAGACAAACACAGATTTTAGAACTGTATACATAAATAAAAACACCATTTACAAGGAAGCCAGCAATTAAATTTTGAACAAAATATGGTTCATTAAAGTGTTTTTTACTCTAGCAGACGGCTATTGCTATCTTATTGCCAACTAGAATCAGCCCTCTGTTATAATAGGGCTAAGGCTGCATACATCCCCCCCCCCCCCTCCTTCCTTGTAAGGTGGGTGGGAGTTTTTTTTTTTTGGTGTTCCATCCGGTTCACCCTTTGGGCTAATCCAGATTCGGGGATCAGTTTTGGGTGGTTAGGTTCTTGTCCCCTCCCGATTATTGTTGCGGAGGATCGAAACCAAGTGTAGTCCCAATCATCACTACACCAACAACCAATTGGTTGGGTGGGAGCTTCTTTAGAGGCTTTAGATGATGCTGTTGATTGTATCTGTAGACAAAAATTGGAATGGGTTGAAGCTTTAATTTGGTTTTACCCATCATAGGGCTAAGGTTGCATACATCTGAACCCCCCCCCCCCCCCCCGCCGGCCCCCCAACCCCTCCCCCCTTTGCTTCCTCGTAAGGTGGGTGGGAGCTTCTTCAGAGGCTTTAGATGCTGCTGCAGAATGTCTATAGACAAAAATTGGAATTGGTTGAAACGTTAATTTGGTTGTACCCACCATGTTGCCTAATTCACCCACATACAGTAAACCTAAAAAGGCAAATCACACAAGTAAAATGGTAATGTTTGGCCCAGTTAAAAAATTAGGTAGTGAAGCGCTAACCCGTACCAAATCTTCATACTAGCGAATAAGGTAACACTGGTTATAATCATCTTTTAGTATCTTTTCCATCGGAACTCTCATATTGATAATCCTTCCTTTTACAATATAAGCAGCTGAACTTGAGCCTGATTTTTTATTTTTATTTTTTATTTTTTATTTATAACAAATCTCTCTAAATAATAAAATTCATCCAATTGTAATTGTAGGTTTCCAATGTGTCCTATTCCACAAGCATCTCAAGTTTATCATCAATAAGCATCACTGGCGTAAGCTGACACTTAGGGTTGCTTGTTTCAAGCTTAGCACAGCTTCAGCTTGGTTGATCCAACCTCAAAGTGACTAGCTAAAATACTTACCAAGATGGGTCTGAGTCCATACCACAGGCTCGGCATGGCTCACCTATTCACCTTACATCCTTTTTGTTTTACTAATATAAGAGAGCTCATACTACATCAACACTTAACTAAAAAGTGGAACTATGCTTGAAATTGACCATTACAGCATCAACATTCTCTGACAATCTACATTTGAGCCAAGTTGAGGCTTAAAATCTTCTTCAGCGCTGACGCCGAACCCTACAAGGTCAATTCAATAATGGCCTCTATGTGAGTTCAGACTATAGGTGACATGATGTATATTCTTCTCTCATAAAAGTCTAACAGTATCAAACAAATGACTTTCAGATTGACAACATGATAACTCTTAACCCTAAGAACAGCTATCTACAAAAAAGGGCATGCAATATATTAACGTGGCGTAGTGAAGGGACATTGCAATTCATTCAGTTATTTGGTACTCGCTACGCCCCATATTTACCTTCTCAAAGAAACTACATTAAATTCATATTTTCCCTCCACATCAACCTTTCTCTCTCTCAAGTCAATACTTTCTCATACTACTTATTCTCTCTCTATCCACTCAATTGTTTCTCTGATTTTAACAATTTTCCTTACTTTCTGTACCACTTCAGAAGTTAAATACGCGACAAAGAATTTTTTTTATCATCATAACTTTTGTGTATCTGAGACAAATTATCCCAAGTTACTTAGTTACCCATGTGTATTATTTAGCTACTACACAATATACCCAACTTTGGACTTATACACAACCGATGGAACAAAATAAAAACAAGCCAAAACTTGGGAGAATTGAAGCATGACAATTACCTGCTATGAGTGGAAGAAGAAAATTCTCTTCGCGGTGGTCTGCTTCCAGACTCCACTTGCTCTAACTCACGTTGAAGTTCTCTCTACATGAAATTATGATAAGTTGGTAAGCATCACATGTGAATAAATAACTTCAGAGCCAAAAACACGACAGGAAAAAGTCATTTCTTGGATAGTCAAGATCATATTAAAGATCTCCCACCTGTGTTTGCTTTTCTTTCTCTAAATCAAGATTATATCGAAGTTCATTTGTTTTGGCACGCTCAAGCTCCAGCATCCGCTGCCTTTCAATGTCCTTTTCCATTTCTGAAGTTCTTTGTCTAAGTTCATAAAAAACAGTATTACTAGGAAGACTACACACATGTTACTACTAAGGTACATCGGCACCAGAGTATTATTTATCACTATATATTGGATCCAAACCTATCAAGTTCTTGCAGTTGTTCTGCCTCTCGTAAAGCAGCTTCTTCAAGATATTTCTGGCGTCTGTGTCTCAACATAAGTTTCTTCTGCCTTCGCTCTATTATTTCTTCCTTGATTCTAGATTTCTCTCTGGAATTAGAATGAAGCAGCAACCTTTGGTGAGTAAAAATACTAACTGTACCTCCAGAAACCTAGAACTTACAAGTGCAGTTACTAGACCAAGTAAGAAAGAAGTGAATCGTGAAAGATTAAGCCAACAACTTGAATGGTGCAATAGGATTTCCCAAGAACAGCACAGATCCAGAAATAGATAAATTTTGTGTATTAGGAATGCAACTATTATCCAATGATCTCATAACTATGACCCTAGGATAATTTGTATAGTATAAATCAGAGCTGTCAAAAGTTGATCCGACCAGAAATACCGACTCTAACCCGATTATTAACTGACACATCTGAACCCGAAAAAATGGAGACCCAAACACGACTTGAAACCAACCCTAGGCCCCAATTGACCCGAGCATGTGAAACCCGAACCCGAACATGAAGAGAAGACCCGACCCGAATGTAACCCATAAATTTTGACCTGAACCGGACCCGATTTGAACCGAAATTGACCCAAACCAGTTTTAACCTGTCAAAACCCGAATTTAACCCAACTTGTTACTAACCTGACCCGAATTTAACCCGACCCGTTCCTAACCCAACCCTAATTTAACCCAGCCTGTTACAAACCCGACCCGAAATCAACCCAAATTGTTATTAACCTGACCAAAATTCAACCCGACTTGTTATTAACACGACCCGAATTTACCAGACCTATTACAAACCCAACCCAAAAATTCAACCCGATCTGGTACTAACCCGACTCGAAATCAACACGACTTGTTATTTACCCGACCTAAATTCAACCCAAATTGTTCCTGACCCGATTTCAAATCACCTTAAATGCAATTTAGACCACCTTATTATTGTTCATCAAAGCATTTTGTTTAGGGAGACCCAGTCAGTCCAAGCCGGCAAAAGAAAGGAGCATTATCCTCAAATTTAAGAGTTAAATATAGTATATATTTTATGTATGATCAAAGGAAACAATTATCTTCCTAAATAATAGATTACAATTTCCTCGCATATTGCCATATATATTATAGTCAAAGAAAATAACTAGCATGATAAAAATGATAATTATCTATTTATATTTAGTTGAACTCAAATATGACCTCAATAGAAAAAAAACCCAACCTGATTGTATCCTGAAAATTATTGACTTGAACATAACCCGACTTGAATTCGAGAATGACCCGAATGACCCAACCTGATTATAACCCGCAAATTATTGACTTGAACCGAACCTGACTTGAACCCGAGCATGACCCGAATGACCCAACCTGATTATAACCCGCAAATTATTGACTTGAACCGAACCTGACTTGAACCCGAGCATGACCTGACTTGAAAATGACCCGACCTGATTATAACCCGCAAATTATTGACTTGAACCGAACCTGACTCGAAACCCGAGAATTACCCGAACCAGTTTTAACCCCTGAAAACCCGAATCAAACCCGACCAATTGTTCACCCGACCCGAATGTAACCTAACCTGTTATTAACCCGACGCAAACCCGATAAGAAGTATGACTCGACGTGACCCGACTAAAGCATGACCCAACCCAAACCCAACCCGCATAGGTTATGGAATTAATCCGAATTGACCCGACCCGAGTAGACCCGACCCACACTTACCGACCCAAATCCAATCCATTTACCCAAATTAACAGCTCTACCCGAAACCTCCAGAATTTCTCAAAAAATGTGGATATTATTCTTCAATTTTGGAATTTTTTGACTTTTTCACCCAAAAATAAAAACTACCGAAATGTTTACCACGGTCCCTAATACCCGGGAGTCCAATGGGTGGAACCATCCAATTTGCCTTTAAACGACCAATTTACTGGTTTACAACTTGCACCGATTTCATTAACTTAAGCCTACCACAAACATTTATGACAACATATAATGATCATATATGGTTCCAATTGGCATTATATAGTCCCGAAACGTATCCCCTAAAATCTCAATGCTTTTCGCCATTGGGCCACGAAACATTCGAAATTTCTCAAAAAGCAAGGATATTAGCCTTCAATTTTGGAATTTTTTGACTTTTTTTTCGCCCTGATATAAAAATTTACAAATGTTTACCATGACCCCTAATACCCTCTGGTAGTCCAATTGGGTGGGTGAAACCATCCAATTTGCTTTTAAATAACCAATTTGCCGATTTACAACTTGTATCGATTCCATTAACTCAAGCCTACCACGAAATTTATGACAACTAATAATGATCATATATGGTTCCAAATGGCATTACATGACTACGAGATAAATCCCCTATAATTTCAAACCTTTTCGACACCGGGCCCCGAAACCTCCAAAATTTCTAAAAAAGTGTGGATATTAGCCTTCAATTTTGGAATTTTTTGACTTTTTTTTCACCCGAAATAAAAATTGCCGAAATGTTTAACTTGGTCGCTTTATACCCTCTGGGAGTCCAATTGGGTGGGTGGAACCATCTAATTTGCCTTTAAACGGCCAATTTATCAATTTACAACTTGGGCCGATTTCATTAACTCAAGTCTACCACAAACATTTATGACAATATATAATGATGATATATGGTTCCAAGCGGTATTATATGGCCCCGAACTATATCCCTTATAGTATAAAGGTTTTTTCGACACCGGGCCCGAACCTCCAAAATTTCTTAAAAAGCATGGATATTATCCTTCATTTTGGAATTTTTTTACTTTTTTTAGACTAAAAATAAAAATTGCCGAAATGTTTACCATGGTCCCTAATATCCTCCGGGAGTCCAATTGGGTGGGTGGAACAATCCAATTTTCCTTTAAATGACCAATTCACCGGTTTACAATTTGCACCGATTTCATTAATTCAAGCCTATCACGAATAATTATGACAACAAATAATGACCATATATGGTTCCAAAAGACATTATATGACCCCCAAGTTGTATTCCCTATAATTTCAAGACTTTTCGACACCTGACTCAAGACTTCTAAAATTCTCAAAAAGCATGGATATAGCCTTCAATTTATGAAATTTTTGACTTTTTTTCGCCCAGAAATTGTCGAAATGTTTACCATGGGCTTTAATACCCTTAGGGAGTCCAATTAAGTGGGTGGAACCATCCAATTTGCCTTTAAACGGCCAATTTAACAGTTTACAACTTGCGCCGACTTCATTAACTCAAATCTACCACAAACATTTATGACAACATATAATGATCATATATGGCTCCAAGCGGCATTATATGACTCCGAGATGTATCCCCTATAATCTAAAGGCTTTTCGACACCGGTCTCCGAAACCTCCATCATTTCTAAAAAAGTGTGGATTTAATAGCTTTCAATTTTGGAATTTTTTTACTTTTTTTCGCACGAAAATAAAAATTGCTGAAATTTTTACTAAGGTCCCTAATACCCTCCGAGAATCCAATTAGGTGGGTGGAACCATCCGATTTGCCTTGAAACGACCAATTTACCGGTTTACAACCTACACCAATTTAATTAACTCCAGCCTACTACGAACATTTATGACAACATATAATGATCATATATGGTTCCAAACGGGATCATATGACCCTGAGATATATCCCATAAAATCTCAAATTTTTTCGACACCGGGTCTCGAAACATCCCAATTTTCTCAAAAAGCGTGGATTTCAATTTTGGAATTTTTTAACATTTTTTTGCCCGGAAATATTAATTGCCGAAATGTTTATCATGGTCCTTAATACCCTCTGGGAGTCCAATTGGGTGGGTGAAACCATCCAATTTGCCTTTAAACGACCAATTTAACGGTTTGCAACTTGCACCGATTTCATTAACTCAAGTCTACCACGAATATTTATGACAACAAATAATGATCATATTATATTCCTTCGAGATATATCACCTAGAATTTCAAAACTTTTCGACACTAGCCCAAAACCTCCAAAATTTTTCAAAAAGTGTGGATATTAGACTTCAATTTTGGATTTTTTTTTTTACTTTTTTTGTCTGGAAATAAAAATTGCCTACCCTCTACAAGTCCAATTGGGTGGGTGGAACCATCCAATTTGCCATCAAACGAACAATTTACCGAATTATAACTTGCACCGATTTCATTATTTCAAGCCTACCACGAACATTTATGAAACATATAATGATCCTATAAGGTTCCAAACGGCATTATATGACTCCGAGATATGTCCCCTAGAATTTCAAGACTTTTCGACATTGGGATCCGAAACCTCCAAAATTTCTCAAAAAGTGTGGATATTAAGCCATCAATTTTGGAATTTTTTGACTTTTTTCGCTCGTAAATAAAAATTGCCGAATTATTTACCATGGTCCCTAATACCCTGAGAGAGTCCAATTGAGTGGATGGAACCATCCAATTTGCCTTTAAACGGGCAATTTACCGGTATACAACTTGCACCGATTTCATTAACTCAGGCTTACCACGAACATTTATGACAAGATACAATGATTATATATGATTCTAAACAGCATTATATGACCCCGAGATGTAACCCTTAAATTATCAAGGCTTTTCGACACTAGGCCTCGAAATCTCCAAATCAAAAAGCGTGGATATTAAGCCTTCAATTTTGGATTTTTTCGACTTTTTTTTTCCTGGAAATAAAAAATGCCGAAATGTTTACCATGGTCCTAATACTCTTCGGGAGTCCAATTGGGTGGATGCAACCATCCAATTTGCCTTTAAATGGCCTATTTACCGGTTTATAACTTACACCAATTTCGTTAAATCAAGCCTACCATGAATATTTATGACAACATATAATGATCATATATGGTTCCAAATGTCATTATATGACGCCGAGATGTATTCCATAAAAACTCAAGCCTTGTTCGACACCGTGCTCCGAAACCTCCAAAATTTCTCAAAAAGCGTAGATATAAGCCTTCAATTCTGGAATTTTTTATTTTTTTCACCCGAAAATAAAAATTGTCGAAATTATTACTATGGTCCCTAATACCCTCCGAAAGTCCAATTGGGTGGGTTGAACTATCCAATTTGTCTTTAAACGATAAATTTACCGGTTTACAACTTGCACCGATTTCATTAAATCAAGCCTAACACGAATATTTATGACAACGTTTAATAATCATAAATGGCTCCAAACGGCATTATATGACCCCGAGATGTAATCCCTAAAATTTAAAGACTTTACGACACTAGGCCAGAATCCTCTAAAATTTCTCAAAAAGCGTGGATATTAGCCTTCAATTTTGTAACTTTTGACTTTATTTCGCCCGGAAATAAAAATTACCGAAATATTTACCATGATCCCTAATAGCGTCCGGGTGTCCTATTGGGTGGGTGAAACCATCCAATTTGCCTTTAAACGACCAATTTATCGGTTTACAACTTGCATCGATTTCATCAACTCAAGCCTACCACGAACATTTATGACAACAAATAATGATCATATATGGTTCCAAACGGCATTATATGACCCCGAGATGTATCCCCTTAAATTACAAGACATTTCGACACCGGGCCTCAAAATCTCCAAAATTTCTCAAAAAAAAGTGGATATTAGTCTTCAATTTTTGAATTTTTTGACTTTTTTTTGCTCGGAAATAAAAACTACCGAAATGTTTACCACTGTCCCTAGTACCCTTCGGGAGTCCAATGGGTGGAACCATCCAATTTTCCTTTAAACGACCAATTTACCGGTTTATAACTTGCACGGGTTTCATTAACTCAAGCATACTACGAACATTTATGACAACATATAATGATCATATATGGTTCCAAACCACATTATATGATCCTGTGATGTATCTCCTAAAATATTAAGACTTTTCGACATCGGGCCCCGAAACCTCCAAAAAAAATTTAAAAACGTGAATATTAGCCTTCAATTTTGGAATTTTTTGACTTTTTTTCGTCCGGAAATAGAAATTGACGAAATGTTTACCATGGTCCCTAATAGATTCCGGGAGTTCAATTGGGTGGGTGCAACCATCCAATTTGCCTTTAAACGACCTATTTACCAATTTATAACTTGCACCGATTTCATTAAGTCAAGCATACCACGAACATTTATGAACATATAATGATCATATGGTTCCAAACGTCATTATATGACCCCAAATGTATTCCCTAAAATCTAAAGACTTTTCGACACCGGGCCCTGAAACCTCCAAAATTTCTTAAAAAGCGTGGGGATATTAGTCTTCAATTTTGGAATTTTTGAACTTTTTTTTGCCCGAAAATAATAATTGCCAAAATGTTTACCAAGGTCCTTAATATCCTACGGGGGTCCAATTGGGTGTGTGGAACCATCCAATTTGCTGTTAAACGACCAATTTACTGGTTTACATCTTGCACCGATTTACCAGTTTACAACGGCCAATTGAATTAACTTAAACCGAACCTGACTTGAACCGAAATTGACCCTAACCCGTTTTAACCAGTCAAAACCCGAATTTAACCCGACTTGTTACCAACCTGACCTGAATTCAGCCTGACCCGTTCCTAACCCAACCCGAATTTAACCTAACCTGCTACAAACCCGGCCCTAAATTAACCCGACTTGTTATTGACCTGACCCAAATTCAACCCGACTTGTTATTGACCCGACTCAAATTTTACTAAACCTATTACTTACCCGACCCAAAAATTCAACCCGATCTGTTACTAACCCGACCTGTTATTGACCCGACCTATATTCAACCCAAATTGTTCCCGAGCCGATCTCAAATCACCTTAAATGCAATTTAGCCCACCTTATTATTGTTGACCAAAGCATTTTGTTTTGGGAGACCAAGTCGGTCCACGCCAGCAAAAGAAAGAAACATCATCCTCAAATTTAAGAGTTAAATATAGTATATATTTCTTGTATGGTCAAAGTAGATAATTATCTTCTTAATTTATATACTATAGTTCCCTAGTATATTGTCATATATATTATAGTCAAAGGAAATAATTGGCTTGATAAAAATGATAATTATATATTTATAGTTAGTTGAACCCGAATATGACCTGACTTAGAAATGACCCGATCTGACTGTAACCTGCAAATTATTGACTTGAACATAGCCCGACTTGAATTCAAGAATGATCCGACTTGGAAATGACCTAACCTGATTATAACCCGCAAATTATTGACATGAATCGAACCCGACTTGAACCCTAGAATGACCCGACTTGAAAATGACCCGACCTTATTATTTATCCGCAAATTATTGACTTGAACATAACCCAACTCAAACCCGAGAATGACCCAACACGATTCTAACCCGCAAATTATTGACTTGAACTGAACCCGACTCAAACCCGAGAATGACCCGACCTTATTTTAACCCGCAAATTATTGACTTGAACTGAACCCGACTCGAACTCGAGAATTACCCTAACCCGTTTTAACCCGTGAAAACCCGAATTAAACCCGACCTATTGTTCACCCGACCTGAATGTAACCCAACCTGTTATTAACCTGACCCAAACCCGATAAGAAATATGACCCGACGTGACCCAACTAAAGCTTGACCCAACCCAAACCCGATCCGCATAGGTTATGGAATTAATCCGAATTGACCCGACCCGAGTTGACCCGACCCAAACCCGACCCGTTTACCCGAATTGACAGCTCTAGTATAAATTCGAATATTCTAACAATTTAATCAAGCCTCCTTAAGAAATCATTTACGAGAACAGCAATCTGCAGTCATATCGGTAGCATTATAGGGCATATGCTGTAAGGAATATATTCTGCATTACTTTTGAATGACCTGTTCCTCCTTAATAGAGTGATCCAGGGCCGAAAAATTTAAGGATTAGGTGTTTTAGTACGAAATATTTTCGGTTGCATCATCTACCCTTACGGTTTAACACCCCCCCCCCAATATTCATAGAAGGAAAGAGAACATAGAGTAAAGATATAGCAAGAAGTCATACATAGAACGAATGTCATCCTTAATTTGTTGCAGACGATGTCCATCCTTTGCATTAGCTGCAGATAGAAAGATGAAAAAATCCCATGAGATTTGTTAAACAATGTCCAAGAGCTCAAACCCATTGATGCCATAGCTCTAGTATATCAAGGTGAAGCCATTACATGAAGGGAAGGCAAATTCATTTTGAGGATTCATGTCGGGCAGCGGAAATTCTTTATGAAGAATGTCCATCTCCAATTCAGCTTCCTCTAGCTCCTACAAAGTATTTGTTTAAACTTTTAATTAAACTAGATGCATATAATCCCAATTTATCTCATCTGGAGACATGAGTAACTTACTCCAGCTTCTTGGTCCATCTTTTCAGCAAACACGTCAAAGTATGCTTGTACGGAAGTTAAATTAGCAAGAACCTGCAAGAAACAGCAATGAATCCATAAATAAATATAATTATTAAAAAAAAAAAAAAAAAAAGTAATTTCATACTTCGTATAAGACAAAGATAAACAAGTAAAAAAAATAACAATAGAAAACTCTTTCATGGCTATGGCAGTTCCTATGAACAAACAACAAATTCAGAAGACAAGAAGATATCTTTTACCTGAAGAACAGATTCACGAGTATTTCCAAACTCAGGATCAAATTCTTTTGATTGACAAGAAGAAAGTGCTTCCTTCAGGGCCTTGTGAGAGAAATCAACAGAAAAATTACAAATTTCCAGCCATGAAATCCAGTGAAAAGAAGTGACAATGAATAAGAAGATATGACTACATACACAATATATAGAGACAGAGGAATGACTCAAGCAAACTAATAGAACTTGATTGTCATGATAATATACAAATCTACTGAAACCACCAGGGTTCAAACCTTAGCATGGTTTCCTTGCATGTTATGCAGAGTGGGGTCCCTAACAAATTATACCTTCCCCTCAATTTTGAATGTTAGGTCCATGGTCCACTTTCCCTCCTCAGCTTAACCTCAACGTTGGCCTCATTACACCAAAGGGCCTCTAAAAATAAAATCAAAAGAAAGGACAAAACAAGACATAAATCTCATAACCCACCTCTTTGGCTTCATCTTCATCGCTTTTAACTTTACACAAAGCTTGGCAAATCCTCTTCTCCGTTTCCCCAACTCTGCCTGCCATAGTAGTACAATAGGAAAGTCAAAAACACATTACTGAAGGCTCTTGAGAATGGAATCATAGTTTCAGTATTTTAGCTCCAATAATGCTTCACTTGTAGAAATGCAAATTCAACAACTATGTGAATTGTTAAATATGCAAAAACCCAATGCAACTCTAACTGTAATCACAATTAAATGGATATAGATATAAATATCCCCTCCATAATTTAACCCCCAATTGCACCCTACCTGAATTCTGCAAAAAAGAAGACGATAAAGAGGCTAATTTGAAACAATTTCATTATTTCATCTTGATGAAGCATTGATATAGGCTTGCACATAATCATATGTTATGAACTTGTCCATCTAAAAGTATATGTGTGAGAACCTCCAGAGCCGAGCCTATGATGATTAACAAGTTTGGCTTAAACAGATTCACAAAGAGTGTCATTAACATCAGCTTTTGGCCATTTATGACGCTACTTTTCACAAATAGTCTTTCAAATCCAAAGAATCACATATGAACAAACTTCCATGATATCATAAGTTCATAAACATCCTTCTCTCGCAAATACTGTTGGCAGCAAACCCCTACCACAGAGGTCCCCCCCCCCCCCCCACTCTTTTTATCTTTCAATCTAATAGCCCTTCCCACTTATCAACCTTCCTTCTTTAAACCTCAACAGATCCTTTAAATTAACATCCCTAACACACAAAAATGTTTAAATCTGCACCCCAATTACAGGTTGGCAACACCTCAGGCTGGACACAAATGAGATGCCCGGTAATCATGTTCCTATATTATGTTCAACATATGGATGATGCTAAAGTCATTCCTTGGTTTTCACTTTTAATCACTTCAACACCAAGTTACTGTCTAAACAGTACATTGCAGTATGCTTTTACAAAAAACTATTCTGAAGCAATATGCTGCCAGCAGAAGACATTTTCAAATATAAGCAAAATAAATAAAAAAAATAAAAAAGATGGGAAAGGGTGAGGGATAATTAACACAATAAACAAAAATAAAAAATAAAAAAAAATAATAAGAAGAAGAAGATAAACATACCAGATTTGGAACCACCAAGGGTTTCTAGATATCTCCACACACTTTGAGGAACCAATGACATATATTCAGCTGGGCAATACAGGCAAGCACCAGCAATTAGTGCTAATGAAAGTTGAGCAAACAGACCCTCACCCATGGGATAAGCAAAACTTCCCAACGCCTGGAAAAGTGTGTCAGCAGTTTCGAGAAAAGATTGCAATTTGGCAAGGTTGGCAAATGGAATATAATGAACAAGAAGCGCCATAGCAACCGTCCTCAAGTGCAATGATTTGTCAACTGAAGCCGTATGGGAGACTTGATCCCATGTGTTCGAAACAAGCTGGGATAAGACTGATTCTGAGATGAAAACAGCACTATCTTGTGAAGCTAATTTATCAAATGATGGAGAAGTGAGAACCACCCAACCACCATTCACATCTAGGCCAAAGAGTCTACCTAAATGCAGAAGTGCAGTGAAACGTTGCTCTGGTTCAGGATGACTCAACATTTTAGAAATTAATTCTATTAGACATATCCCACTCTCATGCATAAGAATACCCCTGGAAAATAAATTGGATAACCATCTATCAGTTTGCAAGCGCCAAGAAATTTTTGGGGCATTTAACATGATATTTTCAATCACAGAGCTAAGTGTAGAAACCATGTTATCCAGGCTACAAAATACTGGCACTTTGAGTAAACAATCGACCATAGTAGACGCAACTTCCCAGAAACTATTCTCCTGAACCAGAGGAATATTTACTGCAAGCCCTTCTATACCATTTTTCCAATGAGCGAAGAATTCATCAAATGTCTTGCAGATCAATGTGTTGTGTTCTTCCAGACCAGAAATTTCTTGCATAACAGAAGATAAGCATCTTGAGTACATTAAGCACTGGGAAGAATAGACAGCAAGACTCCTAGAGAGTTGTGGATGAAGATTCCAACACGATTCAATTGATTTATTTAGATTAGAAATGAGACTGTGTAAGTCCCCACAGAAGCCTTCTATCTCTTCTAAAGACAGATGATGAACGTCAGTACTTACCGTAGAACTACCACTGATATCCCCTTCAGTCTTCTCAAACTCCTCTTTTTCACTACCATAACAAAAATCATCAGGAAACCATGCATTAGATTCCAAACCATTGTTTCCAGGTGACTGAACATTTACATCAACAGTGCGAGGCATAGGTATAAGACCAAGTACTCTTAAATTTTCCACTAAAAAACCATTGCAACTTTGCAGAAGTTGCTGAAATGAGCTAAGATAATCATAGAATGCAGTTGTCGGCTCTAATGCAGGAAAATCCGCCCAATGGACAGATGATTGAATGACCTCCCTTTTCCGATCAAATGACAGATCACAAAAGACAGAAGCTAAAATAAAAATAATGAGAGCCTTGTTAACCTTTATCGTAGAAGAATCAACTTTCTCTTGCTCCTGTATGATGTATGTAAAGAGCTCATCAAAGCATAGACTCTCAAAATCAAGACATGAAACACCATTTATATACTTTTCTTCATTAAAATTCTTGCTCAAAGAATATGAAATTATGGGTTTTAGTAAGCATAATATAGACCTGAGGAATGGCGTGTCACAATAAGAACTTTTGCAAAGAGAGCCAAGCACCTGCACCAATCTCGGCATCTCCGGAATGATGGCTTCCATGTGCTCACTTATAATAGCCTCAAGTACAAATAGAATGATTGCCTTGGCATTTTTGGAATGGTAACCCTTTGTTGGAGGATAACTATCATGAGTCTTGTCCGCCTTCTGGAGAAAGGGTGATAGGCACAAATCAGAGAACCAACACAATATATCTGGAACTGCAGTTGATGCAAGAGATCTCAGCTGCAATGAAACAGCCTCTAAAATAGTTTCGCTGAAAGCTTTAAATTCTTTTTGCATGTCAGGTAAAATTTTACTTAGGTCTGGGTATATTACAGCAAACGACTGCTCTTGATATTTCTGCTGGGAAAATTTATCTGCCTTATTGGTGTCTGGTTTTCCTTCTAACTCTTCCAAATCCAGAACCTCTTTCCTGTCTCCACCAAGTTTCAATACTCCCAGATCATCAGCAAATATGGACAATAAATTTGTAAGTTGTGACAAATTTGAAGCAAGGAAAAGACGCTGAGTCAGGTAACCTTTGGCATTCCGTGACACTGCCATCCAACCAAGATAGCGGACCAGAGGAAAAGTACATGAAGAAAATGTTGATATCCTGCATATCCAGGTTGATGGGGGAATCAGATTGCTATACTGACAGCCACTCACATTAAATACATTTTTTGATCTATTGCTTCCTCCACTAGAAGCAATGACCAAGCTTTGAAGAATCATCCAATGCCTTTGTACTCTATATATCCTTTCTGGGTTAAGCTGCAAATTCCCTTCTTTATACTGGTGAAGAGTAGACATCAAAGATCTATTAAGTTGCTCAGCAGAACCTAGGATAATGTCGATCACATTTTCAGGAGAACAAAGAAGCTTAGTGGCCGAATGTAACAAGAACACAAGAGACTGCATAAGAGTTTCACGCAATGACTGCTGCTCTCTTTGCAATTGATGAATTAAAAAATTGCACAGCAATTCTTGGTTTCTCCTAACCAATGTTATCGCATCTACAGATGCATTATCATTCACAGAAAAGCTTACAGATTCATCATCACTCCCAGCGCCATATGGGCACTGATCTCCATCAGACACTTTCTGGTAATAGCTTCTGTCCATCTCAGCAGCCTCAAGCAATATTTGGACAAACACTTTATCTCTCTTTCTCTCAAGGTGACTTATTGTTTCCAGATTGCAGTTTCCTTTTCCAAGGGTTTTCCTGAGTTCAGAAATCTCATGGGGATATTTTGTCCCATGAATCTTCACTTGATTACAAAACACTGAATGTTCTTTCGCAGAAATCATAAAAGGATTGATATAGCATTCGGCAGACAGGATCATAGCATCTATTGCAGCATTGTGACCTTCAAGGTTAACATTTTTTTGAGAATGCAGGTCCAAAGCCAAACGCTGAAACTCGGATGCCCGAGATTTGCAAATCTCATAGTCTAATAGTTGGGTATGATTAAGATGCAAGCTAAAATATTTCCTGGAAAATCCGGAATCCGATGTAGCACACTTGCGAACTTCAGTAGTTTTTTCTTCTCCAATCACAGGTGTATCATCATGGTTGGGATCGGAATGGGTAGCTTGCATACCATTGATAACATTTCCAAAAGAGTTTAGTAGTGCAAGATTTCTCAGCTCCTCCGGGGCAAACAAAAGGCTGGCATCTTCTAAAATATCCGATTTGCTGGGACCATCCGTCATTCCATCCCCTTCATCTGGACCAGGGTGTTTTAGAGTAGAGTTTCCTTCGCTAGATGCATGTGGCGATGAAGATGAGTTCAAAATTTCTTTGTCAGGCTTGGAGAGAGAAGGCTTGCAAAAGTCAATATCAGGTAGTAACTGCAGGTGCGGGTCCAGAATGGATAGGAGTACACTGCAATTAAAAAGAAATTGAAAAGAATAAAATAAATAATTAATGAATAAACCCAACATCAACAACAATAACAAACTTTGAGAGAGGAACTATGACGCACAGAGCAGAAAATATTGACCAGTACATTCTCCAAATTTTCAGCTGGCAGATCGAGTGTCATTTTAATGCACTTTGAACATGAAAAATCATGTTACCAAATATCTCATTGATAGTTTAAGGCAAAGCATGAGAGATAGAACAAATATCACAAACAAGTACTGTACGTAGCATTTTCTGCAAATTAGCTATTTTCAGTTATTTCTGAAACAATCCTAAATTAAACATGTCTAAAATGTGTTAAATAAGAATTCATTATTATTTTTTAGAAAAGGGAGAATAAATCACAAACGAAATTCAAAAATAGAGGTACTGACTTAGTAGCTTAGTTACAAATCTTACAATTATTTTTTTTTAATCAATAAATTGCATAGTGATCACTAGAACATGAGGCCTGTAATAGCAAGCTGCACACTTTCCTTTCTACAAGTTGCCCTTAAAATAATAAATAAATAGATGGATTAAAAATAAATAACTACCATTAACATTAAAGCAGCATTGATATACTCCCTTTGTCTCCCAACAATCTGCCGGGTTTGACTGGCACTAGGGCCATTGAGCCACATCAAATCAGGAAGACGGAAAAGGCAGGGATAGAGTGTTAATTGAGTAGCTGGTTTAATTAAGGAGTGAAAAGTGGACCCACAGAAAGAGTGTAAGGTATTGGTCAGAGGGACAGCTTGCCAATTAAGGAAAAGGTAACATGTTGAAAAATCACAACTTGACAGGTTTAAAGCCAGTAAAAACCAAAGTTATGCGAGGAAGATGTGTATACCAGAAAGGCAGAAAAGCCCTTTTGAGTCCTATTGGATGCTATGACCAAGAAAACAGAGACATAAAAATTACCTAGGAGGTACTGATCCAAGCCGCCACTCCTGTTCTAACGAGGGAAGAACAGAAGGCTTTTCCACAGCTGCACGGATCACTTGAAGTGCAATAGCACAAGTATTTTCATTAGCATTGAGGAAAGTATAGGAGAATTCAGCAGAGCTTATCATACTTTGTGAGGCGGAAAAGGCAGGCTCAAGAAAAGTCTCCAGCATCTCCACAAGAAATAGAACTTTAAGCTTTGCTTCCTGAATAAAGACCAAAATGAGATTAAGAGTAATTTCTATTCTGATCTACATCTGAAAATGTACAATAAAGAGTTATAACTGTCATATTGACGATAAGAAAAGAAATTTTCATGCTAGGACTCCGATTTCGAATCATGAAAGTCAACAGGTAATGTGACTTTTCCACCAATTTAGCATGAGGATTTAGTTTCTATTACGAAGAGTACTAGAGTAGTACAAGGAAACATGTAATGAGAGTCATGAGACAATCGATACACCGACAAGGATAATAATTTTCCTCCATAGACATTTAAGATATATGAAGTATACATAAATGTACCAACCCACACATTAAAAAGCAAATCGTAAGGTAGCAAACAATTGAAGGAAGGTACAAAGACTGGAGGTTAAAAATATCACTCGAGGTTCTCATTACCTTGTATTCTGCCAGTACATTGTCCATGTAACCAGATAAAGCCAGCACGAGGTATTTAAGGGCAGCACGGACACGTACTAGGGAGTGATGTTCACCCTGTTGTAACGCCATGCATCCAAATTTCAAAAGATGAAAGCAAAGACAGGTTAATTATTGCAAGCCAAAAGGCCAAAATATCATGGCACATTCATCCAAAAGAAAGGAATGGCAACTGCAACCAGATCCATGAAAAACTATTGAACAACATGCAGAATCCAAAGGAACCAAGAAATATACCTGAATAACACCCAATAGATCTTCTAGAAGCTCCACAGCCAAGTCTATCTGCAGCAAAAAAAGCCATTCTACATTATTATTTTTTTAATTCTCCTCTTAAATCAAGTAATCAAAACAGTAACAAAGCCAAATATAAGATGAAGAAACTAAAAGATCCCCTAACCAACCTTTGCAATGATTCGAGGCATCCAAGGTGCAAGTGAACTGCTGCACAAGTCAATCAGGACACAAGCAGTTTTTGCCTGCACCAGGGATTAAATATATCATTTTCTGTATATTAAAGCCATTTAAACATGTTCCACATGAAAATAAAAAATAATAATAATAAATAAATAAAACTATTTTTAAAAAAAAAAATTGTGCAAAACAAATATAACACATTATGACTTAGCACCTAATCCAACAAACACCTAGATATATAGGTTAATAGCTAATGAATTACCCTAATTTATCCCAATCATACAATAATTTTATTTTTATCTTATTTACACAATATCATTCAATGATTAAAATAAACAAAAAAAAAAAAAAAAAACCTTATAACGAATAACGAGTCAAAAGCCTCATCCCTTGCCACTTTACACCTAACTAGGACGCTCTAAAACCTTGAGAAACATGATCAAATTAGGCACCCTTAAAACCATCCCTTTCACAACTTAATCTAATCAAAAAATCCTTCGAATCCAAGACATTAGTTAAAAAATGTCCAAGGCTCCAACAATCCCTGCCATAGTCCTCTTCATATATCCAGTTTAAAGATAATACTAGTATTTCCTTTGCAAGTATTGCAACCCCCCCCCCCACCCTCTTCCCTCCAAAAAGACCCGATTCAAGTAAAAACTGTCACACACACACACACACACAAAAAAAAAAAAAAAAAAAAAAAAAAAAAAGAAAGAAAGAAAAGGAGCAGTCTAGCAGCAAAACAAGAAGATACTACTACTACATTAGGCCACTAAATCCAATACAAACATGCTTAAACAATCATAATAACTAAGGAAGAAAGCAGTGAAAGCACCATAGTTAATGCAAGTAATTACACTAAAGGCTTTGCAGCTTACGCTGCTTAATGAGAAACTATCTGCTCGTCACTAAGACATTAGACATACACTCATACAGTATGAGGCAGAGAGCAGAAAATACGCACATGAGAAGGTGAAAAGGAAGACAAATAGCCAGCACAACCATGAAGAAGTGGATGATAAGCAGGTGATGACAATGTTGATATAATCTGCAAAACAACAGCTGCTATATGAGAGAAGAAAACTAGCAATGCCGATCCAGCATAAAAAGGAGAAAAATTCAAGAAACAAGAGCAGTAAAAGACACATTTATAGCTACAACAACAACAATACGTAACCTTCAATAAGGCTTGTTGTACAAAAGGCTGCATCCACTGCGAGAAAGTATCATCTACACTGAGTATACAATTGGCTGGACGAAGAGCTACAAGATTCCAAGAGTTTAACTATGAGAAGGAAATCAATTTATTCACTTCATCTAAAAAAACATTAATAAATATGTCAGAGAAAAAACACTCAATCAAGAAACTCAGAAAGATTGACTGCTGTAATTAGGTTTGGACGTCAAATGTTACAAAAGCATGAGGATATGGGCCAATTTACCTAAAGCCATGAAAGAGTTTACCCAGTGATAATTTTGTAATAAAAGGAATCTCTACATTTCAGATCTGATAGCAGAAATGGAATCTTCACTTTAACAACATTCCATGTAGTGCATGACTTTCTTTGAGCATTAAGGTCTTCCAGAGACATAACAAAATAGGAAAACAGAGTATGAATGGGCAGAATGGTTGTTCAGATCTATTAACCATTACTAAAACCGAGGATGCTGACGTCACCCTGCCCACGTGTCGCTCTCTTAACAATCTTTTTCCCGCCTAAATAGAATGATGATGTCATCCTTTTTTTTTTGTAGAGCTATCATATTTAAAAATTTTAAAATTAAACATTAGAATCTTCTACATTACAACTAAAACCTATAAATTTATCGTAGGAAATCGAAACAATTTTAAATAGCACACTAATAAACAACATTTTGCATTGAATTATGTATTTGACAACATTGAACAGAAACTATATCATAATTTTGATGAAAATCTGAAATTTTGAAATTACAAAATGTACGCAATTATTAATATTCATGTATAATAGCCATTTATTTTTAAAATGTATAAATTAAAAATAGATTTTATATAAATCGTGCATCACATGGGTTCTAACCTAGTTTAAAATAAAAGGGCACTCTAACCTATGAAAAGGTTCTGTAAACATTCTAAGTAGATTTCATGGGTTCAACATTTAATTGTAACTGGTATAGAGGTACATCTACAAGATCTCTATGTATTCTATGGACTGTCGAGGCCTGAGGCCCTGAGCACCTGACTTGGACAGTTGGACCTAATATTACCCGATCATTCTTCTATCTTAGCATACCTTTACCACAGTTTAAGGGTATCTTTTCACCATTATTATAATGATATTAATTAATTCATTAATTGAAAAAGGATTTTTTACAATTCTATCCCAAATTTCTCAAACAACTAATACTATACTCCATTCGCCTGAAGGATGAGACAAAATGATCTGGTCTAAAATTTGCCTGAATTCTTTGTTTTTTTTTTTTTTTTTGTTTTTTTTTGGGAAAAAGTCTAGTTTAGTACTCTGGTCCTACTTTAAGTTCTCCAAAGTCATTAACAAACAATAATATTTTCTATTTTTTAAAAGACAAATCTAATCTAGTCTGGTCCAGTCTTGTTTATGGTCTACTGTGACCTGACTTACACTTTCATTTTGGTCGGATCTATTTCGAAAAAAAAGTAATAATGACGTGAAATAATGCAAAAGGAACATAGCATTAATAATTAATCTGCTCTCTCCACCCCCTCCAACCCACAGAGAAAAAGAGGCATTTAAGATAAACGCGTATAAAAAAAGAGTAAGATAGGAAGTTTCATAACTAAGAAGCTCTATGTAGCTAGAGAAAAATCTTTTCAGCCAAAAAAAATAAAGCAGTTTTCTGAATTTCCTCAATTAAGAATATTTCAAGTTTTAGAATTATATGATCTTAAGTTACAAGATAACTAACCTGGCAACAGCGCTTGTATAAGAGGTAATGTCAACCAAAAGTTAGTAACACTGACTGCCAGCTTACTGCATAGCAACGACTGTTGATGTACTTAGATAAGATACAACAGAAAGAAAATAAATGAGCTGATCACAATTGTACTTCTGAAGTCAACTCACCTGAGAGGCACAAGCAAATAAAACATGCAAAATTCCCTCCTCTACCGCTCCAATATCAAGGATATTTATATAGCTAGGATTCCAGTCAACAACTGGAATGAGAAATTGGTCTCCAAATAACTCTGAATAATCTGATAAAGCAACATGATATGATTTCGACACCGGTGCTTCAACCAGAGATGATGTCTCTCTGGTTAAAAAAGATGTTTCTTGTGCTGATGTTGCCTCTGCTAAATGATAAAGAATCTTTGCAGCCTGAAAGAAAAAAAGTTCAAGAGATCAGGCTATTATGCTATATGTTGTATAACTAAGCTAATGTAAATGAAGAGGGGAGAGATGAGGAAGGCCCAAAATCTCCCACATCTACATAATGGCTTGGATGCAACAAGTAACCAAAAAGACAAAATTCTATACCACTTTGCATACAGCTCCTAAATCGTTATCTGCAAAAGCTTTCCTCAGCAGCGTGAATACGGCATCTGGACGAAACACAATTGATCGGGATGTTGGTACAGGAAATGGTGACATGCTTCGTAATTTCCGTGGCTGTAAATAATATAGAGATTTAATGTCAGCAAATGAGCAAACACAGAAAAGGAAGATATCGAAATAAATTAGAAAAAAAATAGAGAATTAGGTTTAAGAAAAATATTAAAAAGCTGGGGGAAGACAACAGCAATGTGAGCATATTAATCACTATAAAGTATAAACAGCTCAATTATTATGGAATATTGAATAAATAGCCAATCTTGTCAGATTTGTAAACAAGAGATTAAGGAGGCCTATTTCTTAGGTCAAATGGGTAATGAACAAAGAAGTAATTCAAAGATAGGATATAAAAAAGATACTGAACTACCTCAAAATTGGAGGAAACAGTTAAAGCTGGCACTGGTTGACTATTTCTAGAAACTTCAGAGTCTACACCAATAGCTGAGCATCTTGCGGTTTCTCTGAGATTTACATGCAGTGATTATCTAATTATCAGTAGGCAATTAATTGAATAACAAACAATATCCAGCCAAAGAGCATGCCATGAAAATAAAGCCAACAAATAATTGCCAGAGAGAGAGAGAGAGAAATAGCCGGGGGGGGGGGGGGGGGGGGGGGGGGGGGGAAGTAGCTGTATAAGATTTTTGCTGTAAAAAACATTTAGCATAAGAACCCATGTTTAGTGTGTTCATATCAGTGTGCATGACCATGTTAACTGTTCCCATAACTTGTTACATAAGGCAAAGAGAAATTAGTAGACTGAAGAAGCAACGAATTTGCTGCAGCAAATTTCCCACCATGGGCATTAGATATATTTTTGGGAGGGGGTTTGAGCTGGAGCTTCTTCCTTCCTTTGTGTCAACCATGGCCCGAAAGACATTGTATAGTGAATAGTAATCAAAAGAAGAATTATTATACGCCTTGTTGACCCAATATTACTTACAGGTATCACGGAATATGTAAAAGTTAACGAAACTGATTTTTATCGCCATAACCAACTCAAGATATTAGTGATGCAAGTCCAAACAGTACTATTGGTGCAATTAACCCTACGATTACAAAGCCCATTATTAGATGCCACATCCTGAGATAGTTTTGTTTTTCAGCAAGAAAAGGTATCAAGAATGATGGTAATAATGCATGATGCATGTATTCATAAAAGTGTTCATGCCAAGATGTACTCTGTTTCAACATTGATAAATTATGGCATAATTTTGCTGTAAAGATGTTACAAGTATATTTAAGAGGGTTTTTTTTTTTTTTGGAAACCAAGTATCTTTTAGGGGGTGTTTGGAATAAATTTCGTAAACGGAATGGAAAGGATTTATATAAGTAAGGGAAAGGGTAATGATACACGTTACCTTTGATATATGTTTGGTATCTTTATAAAATGGAAACAAATTGAGGAGTTTATGATTGAGGGGGGAAACACATTTTGTTTCCACTAGTTGGATAAGGGTAACAATTTGGGGGATTTTGTTACCCTTTGGAAACGGTATTTGTTACTCATAGCTCATACCAAACTAATAGAAACGAAAACACTTATTTGTTTACGTTTCCCATGTTACAAATTTTCATACCAAACACCCCCTTAGAGTTTAAAATCTGTTAAGAATAATTAAAAAAAATAGACAAAAAGGTAATAATAAAACAATTAAAAAGGAGGGGAAAATCACACCTTTCGGTGACAATTTGAAGAATGGGATAAAATGGACCGGCGAGCATAGCGAGAAATCGAGTGCTAGTCTCTATATCATCAGCATATTTAGTAAGCTCTGACTGCACAATGATACAAAAAACCACATCAGCTCGAAATCACATACATCACCATGATTCCACGAATAGAAAATTCTGATACCAAGCAGCTGAACTCGTACCTCAAGTTGAGGAAGGAAGACATGCAATCGATCTGTTATATCTTGAAGCAACTACAAGCTACCAGATGTTAGAAGTCCATTATGGAGAAGTAAAAAAGGAAGATCACAGATACGTATGACTTATGATAGAAACAAATATGTGCCACCTGAAAATGCAAATCATTAGAATCTTGTTCATGTGTCGTAATTTGTGGCAGAAGGTAATTGACCACAGGCTGAAACTCAGGTTCAAGACGAGGCACTGAAATCCCGACCAACTGAAAAATACACACACCAAATAAGTCTAGACTCTAGAACTCTAGAATAAGCACCTGGACATAACCATCTTCAGATATTATCTGTTTCAGCTGCAAATGTCCTTTCAAAGGAAACTTAAAAGGCAACTGCATCGTCAACATCCAATTTAATTAGTAAGAACAAGAAGACACCAGAGACTCAGTTCCCTATCAAGACAACTCACAGTAAATACTTCTATAAAGGCCATTGATAGAGATAAACTGCAAAATGGCCAAAAAAAAAAAAAAAAGACGCTCCGGTATGATGTTTTAGACACATAGTAATCCTTGAGGGACTATAGTAATTGTCAACTCTTTTTGGGAGTATTATCATGCTGGAGCGCCTAATTTTTTTGGCCATTACATCTAATCTACTTGCCTAATACGTATGGAACTAACTTATAAAGCATCATAGTAATACGCATGAAAAAAGAACGGAGGAAGTATTTATAAGTTACTTCCATGAGTATTAGGCAAGTAGATTACATGTTTTAGACATATATCTTTACATATTTCTAGGTTGAATTTGAAGCATGTTTGTTTTAGTTTATTTAGGATTCTTGTTACTTGTTAGTCAATATCCCTACAAAACAGACTCTGTAATACATTATTATTAAGTCATGACTTATGAGAAATTGATATTATTTTCTAACAGAATTTATCGCGTTCTAAAAGTGATATACAAACCTTAATTGTTAAGTCAGAAATGAAGAAGGATTTTTCATATATAAATACCTTTTGCTACATCAATTTAGGGAATTCAAGATCCAACACGGTGAGGAGTTATGTAGCGGAATTTACTACTGGGTACTTTACCTTTTGGATCAAGATTCACTCTTAACACCAACAAGAAGAAAAAATGCATACAGTGCTGACATTCCTCCAAACTTTCAATGAACTCTATGAAGCTGTTACACTTGCATTCTTTCAAACGTCTCCACATCAAAAGGAAATGGAGTGTAACAACAAATCAGCATGGTGAAAAAAAAATGATGAAAAGCTGAAAATGGTGACTTTGATTGATATCATTGAACTTACAGAAAATTGAAGATAGACTTGACAGTTGACATCCTTCCAAACCTAACTAAGTAAGGCTATACATACTACACTAACTTCTCAATTCTTCTCATTATCCTTTCTCTTCGTTGCCTTCTTTGTTTAATTCTTACATTAGTATCCTGATTCCCCTTTCCCTCTAACATAGCTTCAGCCTTTACTCTCAATCTTCTAGCTCATTTATTGAGAAATTTCATACACACACACACACACACAAGTACAGAGCCAGATTTAACAAATAAAAAATGGGATACCCTGGTGTTCAAAGGTTACCTGGATGAAGAAGATAGCAATAGGACTTCCTCTAAGACAAGATAATCGAACATAACGACATGGAGTATAATTCATGGAATAAATCATGTCTCGTCGAGGTGCTTCACATCGCTGACGAACCTTTACAAATGTCTCTGGCTGCTTTCAAAGCAAGTAAGTAGATCAGCAAGTCAGATGTAAAAGCAGCACCATATCACAAAAAAAAAAAAAAAAAAAAAAAAAAAAAAAAAAAAAGGTGTAGTCCAAAAGTAACATACTTCAAATAAAACAAAAGACCACCAAGGATTCTAAACGATTTTAAGTTCATACATAAACTAGAAATTCAACCTTAGCATTCATAAAACAATTCCCTTTCCCTTTGGGTGCACATCATGTATGACACTGTGGGACACTAGAACATGCTAGCTAGAGAATCAACAGAAATACATTTGCTAATGATACAAATCAATCATGAAGAACTCTGGTACATTACCAAATAATTAACAACTGCAAGTCAACATCAGTTAGCAAACTTTTCAAGCCAATTTATAGTTCGAGGAGTGGGGTAGTTTTAGTCAGGAATCCCTCCCACAACTTGTATTTGAAGTAGGCCATTCAAACTCATCCATCATAACATATTTGAAGTAGGCCATTCAAACTCCTCCATCATAACACCCATCCAACCCAACCTGAAGTCTCTTCATTCCTCCCAAGAAATCCATCTGATCTTGCCCATATTTTGCAGGTTTGTCAAACTAAAGCAGTCTCCTCCCGATACAACAGAAAGGCTGTGAACCATCTACTGCTATACAACATAACAGGAGAAGAGGCTTTTAGTGATAATTAAACCATTAAAATCCAACACGCCACAGACAAGTGAATCTATTATTACTATATTTGAGCTAACGAGACAAGGAGATGTTAATAAAAACAATTACAAGTCATCAACTTGTTTATAGTACCTTATTTGTTTCTCCTAAAGAATGATTCCATCATAATGAAACCTTTTGTTGTGACTACGTGAAAATTCAAGGATTTAATTTCCACCACAAGGTTTCAGTTTTAATATGCATCTAAAAGGTAAATCTATTGTTATCACCAAATAAAATTTTCCAAGAGATAAAATATATCCCAACTTAAACTACACCGTTATTTGTAAATCACATCTCACAACCAGCTCATTTTAGACGCATTTTTTGGCTCCATGTCTACAAATTTTCTATTTATGCTTCTCTAAGATAAGATGTCACTCTTCTAATATAAGCTACAGTCTTCAGGGTGTACATATACAAAGCATTACTACATCAAATTAACAATAGCTTTAAGCAACAGATTAATCAACATATACTTATCCAGAATCTATTACTTCAAGTTGTTAACCTTGTAACGCAAGCCTGCAGCAACTTCCCACTCCAGAACAGATTTATTGTGTATCCGTATATGAGATAAAAGACACGGTTCCTGCAGACAATACAGAAACGCATTAAGTGATTAAAACACAATGGTAAGTTTTTGAAGATAGAACTCATAAAAGCCATGGTGTCATGCACTTGATAAACCTTGAAACAAAGTCCAAATGGTTCATGATCAGACATGTGGATAAAAGAACGAAATACATAAATTACAAGGCCTCTTAAACCATGCAAGAGCTAAATGGTTAATAAAAATGACCATAAATAGAACAGCTTAAATTGGCAGGGTATTACATAAGGCAGTAATCAATACATCAAATCGCCCCTTAATATGTAGCTCAACGCCCCAAATGTATTTGAACTCTCAAAAAAAAAAAATCCTTACTGAAGTCACCATATGTTATTGCCAGGTTAGCTCGATTACTACAGTTTTCTTGTTGACTAGCTAGTCAGTCGTATACAAAGAGCTAATATGCAACATATTATTGCCAGTTTAGCTCACTTACTTCAGTTATTTCCGTTTTAAAATAGGCCTCAGTACCCTTCATAACAACTACGAACAGAAAACAAAACTGAATAACTTTTACATAAGAAACCACGCGATTTAACAATGCTAAATAAATTGAAGGAAAAGATCCTCAATTAATCAAGTTGGTCAATCTACTTATCATATAGTACATTATTTCCTGAATCTCATGTATATACCGTCCTGGCGCACTATGGAACCCCAATCTGTCCCCTCACATATTTCCCGACTACTCGAAACTCCAATTCTTTATCAAACCTCATATTCTCATGTATATACCGTCCTGGAAATTGTGTCAGTATTTTCAGCATCACTCTCCCCAACCAAATTTCATCAATAATTGCATTAACAGACCTAAATTAAGCTGAAACCATTGCTCAATTACTCTTCCTTCATCAACAATCATGAATTCTAACATAAATTAAAATAATCCCTAATATATCCAGCATAAACCAAAAATTAATCAGAACGGCGAAAACGTGATCACTAATCACTGAATCAACAATCATCTAAAATCAAGCAAAAACAATGAATCGAAAACCAAAGCTTGGAATAAATGCAAACAAGAAGAAAATTAGGGTAAAATTGAAGGAAGATTAAGAAGAGAAATTACATTGAGTTCAAGTAAAATCCACTCCTTAGTATTGGTACCAGTAGACCAGTAATTGCGGAGGTCGGCGTCAAGAACATTGGTGGCTTTCTGAGCAGAAGTTTCTCGAGACATAGCTTTGATTTTGTACGTCAATGGCTTCGTTCTTCCACCTTCCAACTCCATCTCCATTTTCTCTCTCCTCTTCGAAGGCTCTGCGCTTTGCGTTGGTTTTGCTGCTTTCTCTCGCGTCTTTCGCCCAGAGGCCCGGAGAATGAACTGTTTTCACAACAATTCAACAAAAGGAAGTACGACTGTACGAGTACTGGTTTTACTTGTTTGCGCACTAGATAAATCATTAAATCCTCCCCTCCCTTAATGTGTACGAGTGTATCCTCTTATGAAAATATACTATTTTCGTCTTAAAAGAACAACAATAGGATAATAAAATACAAGAAGTAATACTACTTGTTAATTAAAATAAATATCTTAAGGTTTAGAGATCAAATTTCATGAAATTTATTTGGGCGATTTTGTTGCTATACGAGTATATGGGAATGGAGGAAGTATGTTACTTTATTTTTATGTGACTCGTGATTTTTTTTATTATACGTTTTTTTTTGGAGTTCATGTTCTATGCTTTCTTTTATGTTTGTTTGGAGTTTTTGTGTTTTGCAGTATCATTCGGGTTCATGTTTTTTTTTGTTTTATCCTTAATGTTATTTTGATAACTAAAAAAAAAAGTGTATTAGGAGATGTTGGTTTTAAATAGATGCACCTTGTGCATTATACATTTGTCTCCATCATTTATTTATTGTTTCTAGACTTTATGTAGAAAGTTTAAAAGAGCATCACATCAATTTTCTTTAAGCTTTTAAGGCAATTATTAACTTGTATTTTTTTCATATATACCGGTAATAATTTTTTTACAAGGCCCATGTTAAATTGTCACATTTGTTTATTTTTTATTAGGTAAGGAAATTCCCACCTAAAAATATTTTTACTAAGGAATGATTCCACAAATTTAATAAGGAGAATTGAACATTAGTGTCTAACAATTAGACCCCATCAATGCCTAACCCGAACAACCGACCCGATAACTCGATCCTGACCCGAATTACTGAGAGAGAACCCGAAATTGACCCAAACAACCCAAAATTGACCCGTTTATCATATATTGTAATGATCCAAACAACTGGAGCCAAATGATCCGAAATTAAACTCGAACTTGACCCATTGACCCAAATTAACAAGCTAGTAACAATCGTTTATAAAATCTATTGTTAGAAATAAGCTTTTCTTAATTCTTTTTAATTGTAATAATTGCATTATGGCAGATAGCGTACACATGAATCATGATTAACAATTTAATAAGCATAACTAATCTTCAACAACTACCACACAAAGTGAATAAGTGATGTAACTCACTGTAACACTACAGAGTGGTGGGCTGAAAAAAGCAAGTATTGATGAAATACATACAAATCAAAACTTAGCAACGTTGCATAATTCAACCAAAATATAATGTTGAATTGATCTAATACAAAACGTACTGCTGTATAAATGTAAATTTGATTCATCAAAGTTGTAATCTAAAGGACAAGCCAGGACCTTCAAGTTTTTGTTCCATCAACTTGTTCATTCTATCAACCATGGAATCATTGAGATAACGAGTCCACCCTCCGACCGCTCCTTCTCTAAAGAATGTCTTGTTCTCCAAAATTTTGCTAAGAAAACCATTTTTATTAATTTCGAGTTCTTTAAGATTGTTGATATTGCAAAAGTCTACTATTTCCTTGATAACACCTTCATTTTCCTCTTGTGCTTCTTTAAATGAATACTAGGATTTTCCATCAAATCCTCGTACTTCAGGAACATTACTTTGTTAGGTTGCTCTAAACTCTGCTTCCAGTATCCAAGTACGTGCTAAAAAAAAGGTCCATTGAAAACGTTACCTTGGTAGAATTCCTCAAAGAAATCTTCAATACTAGGGGGCTGAAAATCTTCGTCGTCTCCTATTACTCTCTTGATCATTTTTGAATAAAAATGTCAGTGTGACACAAGTGTGTCTAAGGGATTTCGGGTTATGTACAAAATCTTACAGGGAGAAGTCTTCATAGATTCAAGAAGAGACGCGTAAGGCACATGAGACTGGAGAAGTCGCGGTGATGGGAGTTCCTTCAGCTGGTGTGGGCTTGGGGCCGTAAGGCTATTACCATAGACAGCGGTTTCCAGACCACAAACAAGCACATGTGGACTATTGGAAACCAAAGGGCTTTGGGTTGGAGGGTGGACCTTTCGATTGGCAACCAAAATGAGTAACGATTTTACCCAAGTGGTACCAGAAGCCTTGAATATTTATGAGTTGGAGCTTATTACTACCCATGAAGTTTACCTTTGGAAGGCATTGTTTAAGCTGCTCAACTTCTTCTTCAGAGAGAAAAACTGTTTCTTTACTTTGATTTGTTTTTGAATTCATTGAGTGTGGCTCGGCCATTTCTTTCCTTTAAGTTATAATGCACTTGTTAAGTTGTTATGCCCATATATATAGCTATACTTTGAGGTTAGTGGAAGCTTAGCATGCTCATTTACTACTTTTACAAGCAACTTCTATTCGAAGTTTGGTCACGGGAACAAATCTCATTAAATTAGTTTGAAGATTTGGTTAGGATTTAATAATGATATATTAGAAGACAATAAATGCTATTTACCTATCTAATAATTTCTATTTGCCATGTGGTAGGTGTAAACTTGAGAAGAAAAACAACAATTTTTACTTTTTTATCTTTTTTGTTTGTGACATCAAAGATCTTGTCAACAATTATTTATGGAGTACTTTATAACACTTTTAATAATCTATGAGAGTGAGGGATAACTCAAAAACGTGGTTAGAAATTCCCTCCCGATTACCGAAGATCATGAGATTGATTCTCACCCCGCCCTTTTGGCTCTCTAAACACCAAAAACACTTTCAATAATTTCTCATGGATTTCTGAAAAGTATAAGAGTCCACTAATTTGTATAGCACATAAATGTATTATCCATGCAAGGCAAAAATAAATCTGATTTTAAAAAAATTTGACCTACAAGTCTAAATTATTGCATATATATAGTTTGTGTATCTAAACATTAATATAAAATATTCAATAACCAATAATTATATATTAAAAGGCACCAACAATGACACGTGTAGTATTCTAGTATGTCCTTTTTTTTTTTTTAAAAAAAAAAATAAAATCTATTTAAGAAACAAATTAAATCTTTCATCTACATATATGTAAAAATTGCATACAAATTAAAACAAAAGATTTTGATACAAACTTTTTTTTGGAAAAAGATTTGATATAACTTTCCACAAAAAACATATTGACAAATATAACTTAAGCAAAAAAATGAATAATATTCTTAACATAATTTGTGACAACTTTTTTTTTTCCAAAGACATATTATATACTACATATGTTTATTACAACAAGATTATATATTATTTTCTTGATTTTTTTATAAAATTATGTAATAGAAGCTACAAGCTTAAGTAATAAAATACGAATATTAAATCAACAAATGATACTTTTGTCATTTCTATGAATAATTTATGATTAAAATTTCAATCAATTAATACTCTACAATACTTCAATAAGATTTGCCAAAAAAAATACGTATTGATTATTCTTAGTGTGATATTTTCCTGTCATTTTTGTTGTTCTTTAGCATTCAATTGATATGAATATAACATACGAAAGTCAAAAAAGTTAATAATGCTAATTTTAAAAACATCTATTGAAAATTAC